TCCTCTTTCTCTCTGCCTGCCTCTCTGCCTACTTGTGATCTCTGTCATAGATAAATAAAAATCTTAAAAAAAAAGATTTTATTTATTTATTTGATAGAGACACAGTGAGAGAGGGAACACAAGCAGGGGGAGTGGGAGAGAGAGAAGCAGGCTTCCAACTCAGCCCGATGTGGGGCTCGATCCCAGGACCCTGGGATCATGACCTGAGCTGAAGGCGGATGCTTAGCAACTGAGCCACCCAGGTGTCCCCGGAACAGAGTGATTCCTTGGTCCTCCTGCTGGAGTCTCAGCATTAAGCAGGTGCGCACACCTTTGCCTCACTCCTGAATACCTTGTCACAGAACTGCCACCCCCCCTCCAATGGCACTTGAACTTCCTGGGCTGGTGCCCCGGTAGCCATGGGTTTTCTGTCCCGTCCCCAGCAGCAGATGGTGTTTATTCTGTGTCTCCTCTAGCAGTGGTGACGTTTTCCTGAGACCAGGCCAAGGGAGGGTTTTTCTTGCCTTTCTCCTAGACATAGATGGGTTTTGCCTCAAGCGAGAGGGGGGTCCAGGATTATGGCATCTCTCGAATCTGTGTCTCCACAGCGGTCAGGCGCATGCGGCTGGCCCGTGCCGGTGAGGGCAGGCTCCTGTAGGTCTCCGGCCCTCGCCTTGTCTCCCCAGCACCCACTGGATGCCTGCAGAGCAGAACGGATGCGGGGTTACGATCCCCTCTTTTCTCGTAGGTTTACAGATTTCAGACTGTCACATTAGCTCCTACCAAGCCTTTAAGAATCGGTTCAAAATCCACTTGTTTTCTTCTTCTGCCCTTTTATGGCAGTCGCCGCTTGCTCCTGTGCCTTGTCACTTGTGAAGCAGTTCTCTTCTCCTGTCTCTCCTCGGAAGGACTTTTCGCCCTTTGAAATGCCGTTGACTTGGTTGCCTCGCAACCTCAGCTTTCTGACAAACTGAAAAAACACATAATTTTGTAGATTATCTGGCGTTTTCTAATATTTATCATGAGGGATGGTGATGTTCTTTTGCTGCTTTTAAAAAAAGCCCTTCCCATGTGAGGGAAACTGGAAGGGGAGGTGAACCGTGAGAGACTATGGACTCTGAAAAACAACCTGAGGGTTTTGAAGGGGCGGGGGGTGGGAGGTTGGGGGAGCCAGGTGGTGGGTATTGGAGAGGGCACGGACTGCATGGAGCACTGGATGTGATGCAAAAACAATGAATTCTGTTACGCTGAGAAGATATTAAAAAATAAATTATTTTTTAGAAAAAAAGCCCTTCCCACCCTGCCTTAGGGTAAGGCTTGGCCCCCTGAGCCCGGCCTGCCCGCCCTCTGAGGTCTGCCGTCTGGCCATCTCACCAGCCTCAACTTGCGCTCCAGTTACAGAACCTTCCCAGTTCATATCTGAGCAAATCATACGTGCTGTAGAAAAGATCGTCTCTTTGTGGTTTTTATGTGTCGCTGCCTAAGAATCATCTTCCATCCTTGAATGAGCGTTTCTTTCTTTTAAGATGATTGAGGATTTTGATTGTTATTTCTCTTCTGTGGATTTAATCATAGGTTGTGCTTTTATGCAAGCAACACAAGTGTTTATGTAAGTGAGAAAGGAAAGATCCAACAAAATATTATTTACAAATTAGTTCCGTTAATGATGCTGTTGCTCTTGGCTGCTGATTAAGATTGGCGAGAAAATAAAATTGTTCCTGAATAGGTCTTGAAATCCACATCTCTCTCTGCCAAATCATGTAGCAAATAGGAGGCAGGTGTGTGTCATTAAGCCAACGTTTCACGACCGGTGTGTCCAGGTCGGTGTGCTAGGTACGGACTTCCTGGTCACACCGGAGTGGGTTGTCTTCTTCCACGAGCAGCTTCCTCCCTTCATCTCAGGTGCTGCACAAAATTTTCTCTGCCACAGGATGAAAAAGTCTGGGAGGCCCTGAACTCTAGACGATTTCTTATGTCCCTCCCCAAAACAGGACTCTTCAGAGGTTGGGAGTAAAGTAGTGGCCGTGTATGTGTAAGAAGTATCAAATGGTGAATCTGTGCTGGGTCCTCTGCGAACCGTTTTACCTGTGTCCTCCTTTCATGCTCAAACCAGTCCGGCGAGGGAGTTCTAATCACCTGAGGCACTCACCCAAGCTCATGTGAAGTGGCAGAGCTTGGCCACAAAGTCAGGTTACAGAGTCCTACTTTGTGGGGCACCTGGGTGGCTCAGTGGGTTAAGTTTCTGACTCTTGATTTCGGCTCAAGTCATGATCTCAGGGTCAGGAAATTGAGCCCCACATTGGGCTCGTGCTGAGCGCGGAATCTGTGTGTCCCTCTCCCTCTGCTCCTCCCCCTGCACTCTCTCCCTCTCTCAAATACATAAATAAGTAAAATCTTTAAGAAGAAGTTCTACCGGGGGCGCCTGGGTGGCTCAGTGGGTTAAGGCCTCTGCCTTCAGCTCAGGTCATGATCCTGGAGTTCTGGGATCGAGCCCCGCATCAGGCTCTCTGCTCGGCGGGGAGCTTGCTTCCCCCTCTCTCTCTCTGCTTCCGTCTCTGCCTGCTTGTGATCTCTGTCTGTTCAATAAATAAATGAAATGTTAAAAAAAAGAAAAGAAAAAGTTCTACCTTTTAACCATTATGACTTATTCCCTGCATTTTAAATTATGTGCACTAGAAATGGTTCCTGATTTCTTCTCATGGTTTGCCTCTACTTGAGCTTTGGGTACTTGCTGATAGGAAATCATTTCCCGTGGCTGTAGTAATGGAGTCTTCTGACTGCAGGATGAATTATTGGAAAGCGACCTGTTTGAAAATTATCTCTTTGTCAAATGTTATGGGAAAAGTAGATGCCTCTCCAGCTGGCTAAGTTTTTCCGAGCACTGAAGAAGGGCCTGGCACCCAACAGTAACAGCTGGTGTTAGCACAGGCAAAGCAAAGCATGTTGAAATACGCACGACGCGGAGTAGGACAGTGGCTGCCCAGTGTTCAGGAAGTGCTCAGGTCGAGACACGCAGATTTTCAGGATTGATTGATGAACTGACAGTGGTCATTGTATATCGAACAGCAGTGCCAAAAAACGTCAGAGAGCAGACGGCTTCCAGGGTACTGAAATGCTTTCTTTGAAAGTAAAGTTCACTAGTAAGGTAATCTGACGGCATCGGTCAGTTCTTGTGACCTTGCAGAGGATTCTGAATGTTGAATAATGTTCTTTTCATCTTTCCCATGGCCTGCAATGCTGAGACACTCCCTAGGAGCGGGAGGGGTCTCCTGCTACTGTTTCGGCTTCAGTTTTGAGGTATAATGAATGCTTTGTTTGGAATTAAGAATATTTGTATTTCTTTTTCTCTCTCTGCTAGGTCGGTGATGTAGTAGAAGTACAGGCAGATGAAACCTTCCCCTGTGATCTCATTCTTCTCTCATCCTGCACTGGCGACGGAACCTGTTACGTGACTACAGCCAGTCTTGATGGGGAATCCAACTGCAAAGTAAGGGAGAGGAAACCTTGCCTCAACATCTCGAGCTCAGGGTAGTTAGTCATACAGGACTGCTTCCCACGGCTCCCAGTCTTTTATCTTGTTTTTTCTATTTGTGCAAAGTTTTGTATTTGAAGGCAGCTTTTATATAATTGTGTTTGAACGTCCAAGCAGTTACTCAACTTTAGGGAAAAGCGTGGTGTTCGGCGAGGAAAATCCATGCCCCAAATAAAAGCCACCACGTTTTCTGTAGCCCTGTTTGCATTGATAGCGACATATCCCATTCGATGTTTTCTTTGGGCTTTTTCAAATGAATGTCGTTGTAGGCTTAAACTATGTAACTATAAAAATAACTTCCTGTACTCTAACCGCCGATCTATTTTTATTTTTAAAGTGATGCTTTTCTTGAAAAATGTTTATTCATGGCCTATAGGAACTCTTATTTGGAGTAGTTTGGTTGCTCTTTAAAAAACACCTTAGGGTCTTGTTTGGCAAATGTTTGTTCATTGCAAGTAGGAAGAATTATAAACGAGCTAAAGTAGGTTTGCTCAAATTGGAGGCTAACTTTCTTCCACAGTACTTAATGGCAATCCGTTCTTGGCCGTCGTCCAGAGCTCCACAGGGTATGGAGGTGTATCCTCTCTCTGCTGCGTTTAAGGAAGGGCACTAATGTGCTCACCTCTGTGTGTATCCTTGAGGGCTTTTCTCTGCTTGTTTTTTTTCCATCTGGAATCGAGAACCAGAACTCAGTATGTGAAACAGGAACTGAAATGCCTGGGAGATGACTAATTCTGTACGTCAAGGGCATGGCGATGAACTAGTGCTTTTAAATTGTTCAAAAGCAAAATTAAATTTGAGGAACTGTAAGGATAAAAATCAAGAAATCTACCTAAAGATGCCCTAATAGGGGAAAAAGTTGTTTAGAGGAAGAAAACTTTTAAGTGGCTTCTTTGTTCAGTTAAGTTGATCTGATCAGATCTGCTAAAAAGTACATAGGTTTTCAAAATCAGGGGAGAGTTTTAAATAGAACTCAGGCAGTTCCGTAATATTCCCAGAAGACCATGCGACAGCTTTCCCTTCTGCATAAGTGGTACAGTCTTGGAGTCTGTGTTAGCCCTCCTTTGATGATTTATAAATGGGTTTATTGGCGCCTGCCTTGAGTTCTGGGTAAATCAAGTGCATAATATACTCTAGTAGAATATGCCAACTGTCTGACTAAAGCAAAACACATCATATCGCTGCTCTTCCTATGAAATGTAGCCTCTTTGGGCATTTTCAATATGATTAATTATGCTATTTGTGTAGTGGAACTATTAATGAATTTTTTCTTTCAGTTGGCAAAATGTTAGCCTTCTTATGACCCAAAGGGTTATGTTCAATTCATATGTATACATTGATATCACGGTACCCTCTGGTGAACAAAATAACAGAGCTCAGTTCTATAAATAGGAGAAAAAGTAAATGGATTAAGTTTTTCATTGGGTTTTCCGTTAAGGATATGCATGCTACAAAATGGAATTCTCTCTGCTGTCACTATCAGGGAAAGCTTTTAGTTTTTTCATTATCTTCTAAATCTCTTTGCAGCGGGGTTATCTTTCTAATTATTTGTAATATATTCGAAGAATAATACCATAAAATTTAGTTAGTGGGAAGCATGCATCAATATTTGTATTATTCTGCCAAAGCCTCTTACTAAAAACATACTGTGTTGCCAGAATAAGGTGGGTGTACGATGATGAAAAAAATCCCTTTGTCTTGGTTTTGCCTTTTCTTCTGCTTTTCTCATCTAGACACATTATGCGGTACGGGACACCATTGCACTATGTACAGCTGAGTCCATTCATACCCTCCGAGCAGCAATCGAATGTGAGCAGCCGCAGCCGGACCTCTACAAGTAAGAATCCCCTGGTTGTGATCTGCCCTGTGTGATAGTCTGTTGACTCTGCTGCTCCTTGCCACCAGTATCGTGAAGAGACACCCACCGCTTTCCAGCCCTCCTTCGTTCATGTTTTTATGAGCTGTTCTTTTCCTTCTGGCAGGGAAATGAATCAAATCAGCCTTGTTCACTACCAGCCCAAGATAAATCACTGTAGGCCCAGACACCTTTGCGTTTTAAGATTATGTTACACCGTAAGGCTGCTCCGTCAGATTCATGTATTTAATCAGAGTTAATGAAAAGAAAAATAAGCCACTGGATATGTCCTCCAACATTAAAGAGAGGAAGGGGATATGGGGCCACACACTATTCCTTTTTTATGAGGATTATGCTGAACTCAGTATTGCAAATAGGCTGCTTTTTGTCTACTGAGATTTCCTCTATTTTACTATACTCGGGCTTTCTGGAGTAGACTTGCTGATGAACAGTCATTGTAGGTTCTCAGAAATTTGGCATTTGATTTTTAAGACTGGTTAGTTTGGTTGATTAGAGCATGCTGTTAATGAGGGTAGAGTAACAAGTTTTATCCTCACGTGGGCCAGTTAATCTCATTCTATTCCCTCATACAGATGGCCTCAATTACCCGTGCCAGGCATCTTGTTAACGAATTCTGTTGGTCATAATGGGGGGCCAAATGGTTGGACGTGGCTTAACACCATCGCACAGTAGTAGAAAAACAGTATTCATCCCACTATGAGAACAGTGCCTTCCCTCCTTCCCATCACTCCTTTATTCCGTATGCACCCTGAGAGTAGGAACTAGGATCATAAAACAAAACAGCTGTTCCCTGCCTTCAGGGAGCTCAGACTTTGCAAGGCAGATAAATATTTATTAAAGCTAGGCCTATAGTACAGCGACATAATAGAACAGACTGAAACGCCCATGGAGTCACAGAAGAAGGGGTGGCCAATTCTGCCTGTGTTAGAGACCAGGATGCTTTTCTGCATGTTCATATGGCAGCTCCTAAATTTTTCAGTTACTTTAAATATGAAGGAGAATTTTAGGGCAGGGAAGGTTATTCCTGATTTCTCTGGACTAGACTGAGTGTCCTTGATTTGTGACTTCAGAACACCTGTGCTTCCACAACCTGAGCAGTGATCATTTACATTGTAATTGCCTGTTAACTTATCTGCCTTTAGTGGGAGGAACATGTCTTTCTGGCTTCCCAGTGGGTCCCCAGCACCTACCACAGCACTGGCACAATTAACACGTGGTGAATAAATGAGCAGACCATCATACTTTGTGTACGTAGTAATCACGGTTCACTTTTTCTGAAAAACAGTGATGATGCAAACTATAAAATACGCATAACTCTCTCTTGTTAAGGAGAGTTAGGCCACCTTACCCCATTTTTGGAGAAATGCACATTATCGTGTGTCTAGCCATGTTAAGTGAGCAGATCAAGCTCGGTATTGCGATCAGCGGAAAGAGAGAGGTTGGAAATTTCCGAGATGGTCATCAGATGTTTGCCCCCTGAGACTCGTGCAGTGGTTCTCAAAGGGTGATCATGGGCCAGCACAGCATCACCTGGAAACTTGTTGGGAATGCAGATTCTCACCTGAATCCAAAGCTTTGGGGTGGGGCCCCAAAGTGCCCCATTTAACAAGCACTCCGGTGGATCTGTTGCACGCACAAGTGAAAAAACCACTGAACTAAGGGGTTTAAGTTGTGTGTTAGCACCAGAAACCTCTCTTCACATGCATCCAGAATAGAGGGTAATTATTTGTGGAACGTATAAATGAGCGGGGGTGTTCTGTGCCCGCACAGTGCCAAGTAGAGTCTGAAAATCAATTTGGAATCTTTGTGTTCTTATAACCCATGCTATTATTTTTAAAATTATATGAAAATGTTACACATTGTGTTGTATGTTAGCATAACTTTTTTTCCCAGAAATATAATGGGTTTTTGTAGTTCATTCAGTCTTACCTCTTTTGTATTATCTGTATCTTGATTCATTCCCATTTACGTGGTTATATATAGATCTTTACGTTGATATAGAAGACACGTTTGCCATTGTGTTCTTTTTGCAGGTTTGTTGGGCGAATCAATATCTATAGTAATAGTCTTGAGGCGGTTGCCAGGTTAGTTTGTCCTTCCTTTCATCTGTCCTTTTCGGGAGGAGGCGGGTATATTTCTCTTTAAAGCCCCTTAAAATACCTGGGGTGCCTGGGTGGCTCAGTGGGTTAAGCCTCTGCCTTCAGCTCAGGTCATGATCCCTGGATCCTGGGATCGAGCCCCGCATTCCTCTCTCTGCTCAGCGGGGAGCCTGCTTCCCCCCTCTCTCTCTGCTCAGCGGGGAGCCTGCTTCCCCCCTCTCTCTCTGCCTGCCTCTCTGCCTACTTGCGATCTCTGTCTGTCAAATAAATAAGTAAAATCTTTTTTTTTTTAAAGCCCTTTAAAATACCCCAATACTTCTCTGTATAGAAAAGGCTGGAGAGGTGAATAAACCTGGATTAACTAGCTGGCATCCCAGTAGGCGGGCGGTGTTGCGAATGATGCCGAGGGTGTCTGAAATCGCAGAGCTCCGGGCCCTGGGGGGCCCACATCTGTTCTGGTTGTGCAGTGGCAGACTGTATTGGGGGTACACCTGGAGAGTGGTGGCTAAGGGAGAGTAAATGAGGGATAAGGCAGTAGATGAAAAGCCGAGAGAATTACCTGGACTGAAAGAAAATGAAGGGCTAATCATTTATAATGAACCAATTCAAATAAAAAGGGCTGTTTTCTTCCTTCTTCTATCATCCAGTTAATTACCTCAATTTTTCCACTTGGAAAAGGAATTTAAACGCTGGCCGCCCAGTGATTGCCCCAAAGGCGGGTTTACACTCTAAATATGTCAGTATGTCTTTCCACCTTGACGGCTGCTTTCCCAGTCTTTTGTCACCTTTTCTTTCTGTTGCTTGCTGTCTGCCGCTCTGTACCGCTCTTGCTGTCTGTGAATCAGAATCCTTTTCTCTGTGTGCCCCCGCTTTACCTCTGCGTGTTGCTGGCGACTCTTATTCTCTGCTTCCAACTGTGCTGTATCCTCAAGGAGGTTCAGAGGGAAAGATCTTTCGGCTCATCCTGGGGCGTAAGCATATGATATAAGTGGAAAGATACATTCTGAACCCCTTGGAGATAGAGGTGTGTTAGGGCGAAATATGTCCCCAGAGTTGATGATGCTATTTTTTGGGGGCTGTTTGGATAAGCTGTGTTCATTTTTCATTTAGGTCTCTGGGACCTGAGAATCTCTTATTGAAAGGAGCTACACTAAAAAATACCAAGAAGATATATGGTGAACAGTTTTTAAGATCTCCTTATTATTATTGTAAAGCCTGTGCATAAATAGTGCATGTTACAAATTGGACATGGCAGATACTTGCCACTCAGTCTAAGCCTGTTTTTAGGTGTTAGGACTTTATAAGATGGTAAATAAACTATAAATATGACAATCAAGTACGTAGAATGAAAATTTATATTATAAATGATGCGTCAGCTGGTGACTAGACTCAGGTTAAGATACAGCTTGGTGGGAAGTCGGCTGGCGGTCATAATTGTGACCTAGTTTTCACTGTCTTCTTTTATGCCTTAGGAGTTGCTGTTTACACTGGGATGGAAACCAAAATGGCTTTGAACTACCAAGGGAAATCTCAGAAGCGTTCTGCTGTTGAAAAGTTAGTGTGCACCACGATCTCTTTGAACTGTGATATAGTTAGTTTTCGGTAATTCCGAATAACAGCTGTGACAAAGAAACAACATCCGTTACAATAGCAGCTACCACATTGAGCACTTAGGTTCCAGAATTGTGCTCAGTGATTTGTATGTCTGATTTCGTTTAATCCTCTGAGCGGCAACGTGGTGGGACTCCTGTTAGCCTATCTGCTTTGCACAGGAAGCAGTGATCTCTGAGCCGGGTGACTTACCTAAGCTCATGTAGCTCTTCAAGGGCAAAGTCTAGTTGAATTAGAATTTTGCTCCCTTTTGCTGCTGGATAGTGGTTTGGGGTCCTCTAGTTGCTGTATGTAAGGAAGTTCAACGACGTAGGTAATAGTCTCCTGCTAGAGCTTCAAGCCCATTGTTCCAGCATGGACCTCACTGTCATTGCCGTGGATATCCCATGTATCAGTGGCACCCTCTCCATAGGCCTACTTGCAGATCAGAGGAGTCCACGCTAAGTATGAGGATTTCACACTGGCTCCCCCACCCTCTACTGCAAACCCTTAGGATTTAGGGAAATGGAAACAACCTATTCTTTCTTTAAGGGGTGAGTAGGTACGGTCTATTCATGTGTGTGTCTCCTGTCACTTTATAGGATCCTTCTTTTTTTTTTTTGTAAGTGCATTAAGGTAGTCAACCACTGTACTTTGGGGAGCATTGGTGACCAGCAAACAGGTCAGGAGGTCAGGGCTGGCTTTTCCACTTTACCAGCTGAGAGTAAGGCTTCTGCAGTGATAACTGTGCTTACCCATCGTCCACAGGAGAGGCTTTAGGAAACTGAATGGCTTAATTTTTACATGGTTGATATCTTAAATAATTATATAGTTTTTAAATCCATAATATCTTCTTTTTCAGATCCATTAATGCCTTCTTGATTGTGTATTTATTTCTGTTACTGACCAAAGCTGCAGTATGCACTACTCTAAAGTACGTTTGGCAAAGTACCCCGTATAACGATGAACCTTGGTACAACCAAAAGACTCAGAAAGAGCGGGAATCGTTGAAGGTAATCAGTTTTATGCTGCAACTTTTAACTCTTGCTAAAAATTTTAACTCTAGCCCTTTGTGACCGAGCCACCCTTTATTGAAATGTTATTTAGATAATGATACCTTTTGCTGGCTTCCGAGTTTTCTCAGGTTGTATGGTAGCCCCAAGCTGTTAGACATTTAAGAAGTTTTATAGGATTTTTTTCTTTTACTTTAGGCATCTGTTCTTATTTTTAGCTCTTTAGTTAAAGAGTTTGAAACAGCTGATCAAGAATCTCTGGTTATATGTCTCTGGCTGTACCCAAGAATCTGTGTGACTATACATGAGCTTGGAATATGTCATAAGTAGATGCCTACCCAGAAACTTCGATCCTGTGTTTGTACTGGGGGGACGGCAGAGAATTTAAGGAAGTGAAAAAGTGTTAAGAGGTACATTTACTGAAGTATAATGATAAATTGGGGATGTTTTTAAAATGTTCTTTTCACATACTGTGATGAGAACTTTGGCCAACGGGATAGTATCATTAGGAACTTTATAGCAACAGCAGTGCTTTTAGCATTGAAATAAAAAGAAAAGTTAACTGGTTCTTTATCTTGCACTTGTTGGCTAGAACTGTGTATCTAATCAGCGCAAACTATTTCTTTTGTTTTAGGTTTTGAAGATGTTCACTGACTTCCTGTCATTTATGGTTCTGTTCAACTTTATCATACCTGTATCCATGTATGTCACGGTAGAAATGCAGAAATTCTTGGGCTCCTTCTTCATTTCATGGGATAAGGACTTTTATGATGAAGAAATTAATGAAGGAGCCCTGGTTAACACATCAGACCTTAATGAAGAACTTGGTCAGGTTAGAATGTATTTTTACTTGAAATAAGTTAATGTATTGAAAATATCTGTTCTTATACTCTGGCTTACCAATGTATGTGACCATTTCACGTTGGGAAATGTGATTCAGATATTCTTTTATCCAGGCATATAACAAAGACAAGCAGTGTTTTCATAGCTGTAGCATTCATTATCTTGTTGGCATTTTCGAGGAGTAGCCCACTTTATATATTAAATTTGAATGTGACGGAAATTTTCTTTACAACTCACCTGGCGATGTTGTTAGATTATGGGCTGTTGCTTTGGAACAGACACATGTAGTTGGTCTTCCTCAGCATCTGTTACCAGTTGGGGATAGACTCTGGGGTAGTCAGTAAAGCTTTTCTATGACTGTGTTTTGTTCCATAAGCAGCATTGACTAGAGTTGTCCTGTTGATGTTGTCTTGGTACATTTCTGATCAGACAGAATACATTCCTAGCAAGCAGAGTTGTTAACTCCAGGGCAGGAATTTAAATGAAGTCAGAATGTGGGGGCATGTGCTCCTCAGAATGCTTTTTGCTTCGTACACCAGTGCGGCCTAGGCTGTGGCCTCATTTCTAAGGCAGGTGCATTTGTTCCCAGTGTGGTATGGTCTAGCTATAATTCTTCAAATGGTGACTTTGAAGGTGATTTTCTCATCAGTATTGAGAAAGTTCTTCCCTTTGTCTGGATGTACTGTGTGTCACGTAATGCTCTTCACAGGCTGGGGGAATTTTTTGGCTTTCATTTAACTCTCATGATATTTAGAATGTCAAGGCTGTGGAAATGTCATTTCTATGACTGGGAGATACAAATTCGGTTAATGGAACTGTGCGGCTGGAACAGGGCCTCACACTTGTTTTAAATGGTGCCAAGTTGCATCTACGCCTCAAAACCCTCCTCCCGAATGTAGCCCCCCACGGCCCCCACTCTTTCTGTTCTTCACCCAGCCGTGCCTAGACTGAAGTACCATCTTAACAACAACAGGCACAAGGGGGAAAGGACACTCCAGATACCAGTTTTATTGAGAGCTGACAACATGACTCCAGGATCCCAGACTGTGGAATCTGCATCCCACAGAGATACTGAGTCACCAAGGATAGAACAAGAATTGAATGAACAAATGCTTTTTTCCCTTAGATATTGTTCCCAGAAGATTCTTTTGAAGGTGACTTCAGCTGCCACAGCTGACCTTACTTAGCCTTTGTAAACCACTTTTCATCCAGGAACAGAGCTGTCTGAAGAGAACTACTCTGGTCCCAATAAAAAGCATTGATTACAGCATTACTGCATTAAAAAAAAAAAAAAACTGAGTTACAAGCCACCTCTGGTGAACTTTCCCTCCCTGACAGGTGATTTAGTTGAGTAAATCTACCTCATCTAGATCCGGTGCCTGGTTCACCTACCCAAGGATGAATGAGGCCATAGCCCCAGGACTCCGCAAATAGAGCTGCCATCATGCCGCATGTGACTCCTAACGCTGTCTAGAGACAGGAAGGATATCCAAGACAGGTGCCACTCAAATGAGGTTCTTAAATCTTCCAGACCCCCACCTCAGCAGATTCCATATTACCTAGTGGAAGGTAATCTTATTCCTATCATTCAGGCTGTATTCACACTGCAGAAAGCAAAGTAGAGCTTTGGGTAATGATCTGGTAAATTTGATCACTGAAAAGAGACTGGAGTTTTCATTTCAGCCACCACTTCTTTCCCCTACCAAAACCTGCCTTTCTGGCTGTGACTGTCATTTAGTCAAAGCACTGAGTTAATAGCCAGACCACCACTTTCATTTATATGGTGTAAAAACAACTTGCCTTCATTATCAGCTTATACGTGTGGAAACTACCTGAATGAAAATGCAAAGAAGTCTTGAAATAGTTCCCTAGGCCATTTACTATTCAGTGGACCAGTATGCACAAAATTGAGTGTAACCAGCTTCCTCCTTGATGAGTCATAATTTCAGATCTGTACGACTTTTTATGTTATAAAAAAGCAGTGTCAATTAGGTCCCACTGATACCATTGCAAATACTTGCTTAATCTCTTTTAAAATGACCCACATTGAGGGGCGCCTGGATGGCTTAGTTGAATGGCCAACTCTTGGTCTTGGCTCAGGTCTTGATCTCGGGGTCATGGGTTTGGGCCCCGCATTGGGCTCCGTGCTGGGCATGGAGCCTACTTTTAAAAAAAATGACCCACACTGATATTTTAAAAATGGGAAGATACATTTAGGACAGTGTTTGACTTGAGAAACAAAAAGAAGTAAGAGCAGCTGGGTGGCACAGTCTGTTGAGCAACCGACTCTTGGTCTTGGCTCAGGTTGTGAGATCCAGCCCCAAATCTCTCTCCCTCACCCTCTGCCCCTCCCACTTATGTGCGTGCTCTCAAGCTTGCTCTTTCTCCCCCAACCCCCAGAATAAGTACATCTGTAGAAAAAAGGAAGTAGACTGTTCAGTTGGAAAAGAATGGAGTCTTATGATCAGGCATCAGTCTTTTAGGCAACCAAATGGTTTCAATCCATCTTGAAAATATTTTGGGGTAGCCTCCTGCTTTATAGCCCCTTCAGGTCTTGCAGCGATGCCTAATGGTGTGTCTGGGTATATACTCTGATTCCAGTAATTCAATCCCACTGTTACGTATTAAATTTACGCTATATATCAAGAATATGTTGATGGTACTGAGGTTACTATTACAAAGTATACATGAAACCCTCAAGTTGTTCACCATTCAGTTAGGAAAACATACATATCATACGTAACTATAGCAATGTGACCATAATTGATCAGAAAAATATAGGGCATGTGAGATGATGGAAAGAGTCCAGTACTGTGATTTTGGTCAAGGCAACAGCAATGACTGTCAGCATCTATCTAATACCTTATAGTTTGTAAACATTATTGTACTTTCTTTTCCAGTCTTTACAGCCTTGTGCAGGAGGCTTGGTTATTTCAGGTTAATATTTAAAGTATACAGACTTGAGAATTTTCCAAGGTCACAAAGTTAGTAGGTGGTGAAGCCAAGACACCAGAGCGAATGTTCCATTAAGTTGAATGATATGAGATTTTTGACCTACAAAATAGGCATTTCCATACGTTTGTGAACGTTAGTTCAGGGCTCTTTCCACCCTAGAACAGCTGTCTGGCTTTAGGCTTTGCATCCATAAAATGATGAGTTTCAGCTTGCTTATAGAGAAGTGCCTTTCCAGCAGCCTCAGACCTGCCACTAGAGAGGAAGAGGCTATTGTGAGTTGGGCGAGCAGGCAGCCTCTTACTCTTTAGCCCTTTTTAGTAACAGCTGATCCTCTCCTCTCCCTTGGCCGAGTACAGGGCATGTATTACAGCAGTGGTTCTCAAAGTACAATCCCTGGACCGGCAGCATCCGCATCACCTAGGAACTTAATTAGAAATGTCCATTACCTAGCGCTGCCCTAGAGCGCTGAATCAGAAACTGGGGAAACAGAGGCCAGCAATCGGAGTTTTAACAAGCCCTCCAAGTGAGAGTGATGCACACTGCAATTTGATATTGACCGTGTCAGGGTATAGTTTGTTGGCCTTACACCTGCGAGATCAATTCTACGCAGATCCATACTGCACAGAACATTCTGCGTAGGGAAACAATTGCACGATGTATTTTTTTTAAACTACCACCTTTGGCGCTTTCTAAGATTTCTAAGTGGGTTAATGCTGATCCAAATGTAGGAGGCGCAGGAACCCGGGAGAACCTTCAGGGGAAAATGACAGTAAATAATTTTGATCAGAAAAAAAATCCCAAAGATTTTTATTTCAACTGGAAAAATCTAGACGATACAGGAATAATAGCACTTGAATTAATTTAAAGGGAGAATTCAAACTTGGCTGGTTAACAGAGCAAAACAAGGAAGATTGAAATGCTATATTTGTGCCAGTGCTGCTACCGTGAAAAGCTTTGAAAAATAATTAGAAAGCAACTACTGCTGGAGTTCATCTCTTTCTCCCTTACATAATGAAAACCTTCATCTTGTGCTTATGCTTGTTCCTGTCAGCCCATAATTTTAACTATTTAAGCATAAATTGCCAAAAAGGATAAAATTGTGGGTTTCCAAAAGCCAGATGTTATAAATAGAAGAGATAAAAACTGAGATAAAATGGAAATGCTCAAAATGGTTTATTTGGCATGGAAAATTTATTTCATCGCTTACTTTTTCCATTATTTATGAAAGAATGCTTATATTATACTTTTTTTTGCTTATATTTTAACCTATTATTATAAACTTTTTTTTTTTTAACTTGGAAACTTTTTTCAGGAGTATCTAAAAATATACACAGTGTGTGGAAAGAAACTTCAATTACGTTTTTGAACATTAAAGACTTCCTGTGTCTCCTAATTAAGTAACTTGATATTATTATTTTCCCTAACCATCCATACTCTTTGATTCTATCTGCAGTATATAACACAGTGCATTTTACTTCAGTCCAGTATATTCATCAAAAATTTTACTTTTCAAGGAAAAGCTTTGTTACATGGCAGTAAATTTAAGTTCCTCTCAAATATTTTTCTGTGTGTGTGCGTACGTGCACGTGTGTGTGTGTGTGTGTGTGTGTGTGTGTGTGTGTGTAAAAGGGTCAGTCTGTTCTTACTTCCCACTTAGAAAATGGGCTTTTATTTTAGAACTTGTTTACATCAAAATAGATAAGTAATAAACTGAAAGTTTCTTAGTTTGATAAAATAGCCACATTTTTCTTATTAATCTTTTGTATTTGAACACGTCTACCTTGGACATGTGATACTATTTCACTGCCTTTAAAAATACTTGTTTGAGGGGCGCCTGGGTGGCTCAGTGGGTTGGGCCGCTGCCTTCGGCTCGGGTCATGATCTCAGGGTCCTGGGATCGAGCCCCGCATCGGGTTCTCTGCTCAGCAGGGAGCCTGCTTCCCTCTCTCTCTCTCTCTCTCTCTCTCTCTGCCTGCCTCTCTGCCTGCTTGTGATCTCTGTCAAATAAATAAATAAAATCTTTAAAAAAAACCAAACAAACAAACAAAAAAAAACTTGTTTGAGGGTGTCTGGCTGGCTCAGTCAGTGGAGCCTGCGGCTCTTGAATTTGGCATTGTGAGTTTGAACCCCACATGTGGTATGGAGTTTACTTAAATTTTTTATAATTAAAAAAAAGTTCTTACTCATTTGCCGCTCTTTTCGTAATAGTGCTTTTGTAATTAACCTGACATTTGACGAGAAGTCTTAGAAACAGTGCTCTGCTACGGATAGGAGAAGAGCCCCCCGCCTTACAGCCTAACGAAAACTTAATCACGCTGAAGGAGGTAACACTGCCTCTGTTTGTGTCCTTGTTTTTAGGTGGACTATATATTCACAGACAAGACTGGAACACTCACTGAAAATAGCATGGAATTCATTGAGTGCTGCATAGATGGACACAAATACAAAGGTGCAGCGCAGGACACCGATGGTCTCTCGCAGACTGATGGACCCTTAACGTATTTTGACAAAGCAGATAAGGTGGCATTTTCCGAATTACATTTTCCCCCGAGAGATCCTTCTGTGTGTGCATGTGCTAACTTCACGTAGTAGAAATAAGAGCTCGGAGTGCATGACACCGACTTTGGAATAACCCTTCGCTTTTTTGACTTCAGCTTCCCTGCTTCACTAACACCTCCAGAGATCGTTAATAAGCAGCATTTATAAATAGGGAGGGATGTGGAAAATGGCTTCGGGGCAAAAATTTCACTTGCCTGTCTGTCTGATCGTAATTCTTGATGCTTTGTCTTTAAAAATATGAGCTGCTCCAAGAGTGAAGTCTTTTCCAGTCATTCAAGTCCCAGGAGTGTCTAGACATTAAATGAACCCAAGTCTCCCTGCACCTGAGCTATTGCCAGATTGTGAATTGGATACTGAATGAACTCTTTCAGGCCATAAAGAATTCACCGATTTAGTATTCGGTGGCAGCAGGGTAGCCTGAATGAGCGAACACAGCCCCTAGGGTATGTTAGCTGAGACCCGGGGATGCTGTCAGGTACAAGGGAGGATATAGAGCTCATCTGAGTATTAGGGATTTAGAAATTTCAGCTACTCGGTTTGCTGGAGGTTATAACATTTTCTCACATTAATACCTTCTCTCTGTTCGCTGACTACCAGGTGATCAAAGGGAAAATAATAGAGTCATTTTTCTGTTACCCTTCAACAGAACCGAGAAGAGCTCTTTCTGCGTGCCTTGTGCTTATGTCACACTGTAGAAGTTAAAACAAATGATACTGTTGATGGGCCTACGGAATCAGCTGCGTTAACTTATATGTCCTCCTCGCCAGATGAGATCGCTTTGGTGAAAGGAGCTAAAAAGTAAGCACTTCTATTAGGTTGGGCGAATAAATTCTGGAGACGTGTCATTCAGCGTTGTACCCGTCGTTAACAACACAGTGGCTTGCACTTCAGAGTCTGGTAAGAGGGTAGAGCTCATGTTGAGTGGGCTTTACCACAAACAACAGAACACCGCTGGGACCCACGGAAGCTTCGAGAGTGGTTGGATAGGTCTCTTACCTCGCTTGTGGTAAAGATCTCACAGGTATTTGCACGTGTCCAAACTTCTCAAATTCCTCACGTTAAATAAGTATAGTTCTTTGTATATCAGTCATACCTCAAGAAGGCTGTCTTAAAAACCCTGAGGTAAGTTGTAGAGAAGTACATGAACAATTTTGAAGAGCTAAAAAAAAAAAAGGAATAAGCACTGCTTGTACTTCTCCTGAGAACAGGAAATCACAGGAGGATTAGAGTTGTTTTTTCCTCTGCTCCAATAACCTTATCTTATAAATATTCTTTAATAAAAAGCCGAAATGCTTTCTCTGTAAGTTTGTGAAAAATTTCCCAAACCTAGCCAATTAAGACCAAAAAGAAAATAGCAATGCGTAGATGTGACTTGCATTACTGTTGATAAACACCAACCGGAAGTCCAAATGTTCATATTCTATTCTGCAAATTCTGCAACAGTGGCCACTTTCTATACAACACATGCTATTTCTGAAGCGCTCTCAGCAGTTTTGACATCACTTTGTAACCGACAGTCCTGTATTACCCTTGAGGCCTGAGATGATTAAGTGGTTAAAAGGTCACCCGATGTGTCTGCTACAGAATTGGAATTACAAATTGCCTCTTGATTACAAGTCGTGACTGGGCTTTGACTTCCTCTTTCCTGTTGTCTCAGCCAGTAAAGGGAAGTATAGTTATAGACTGTTTTGTGTTGTTGTTGTTGTTGTTTTTTCACACAAAAGAGAAGAAAACAATAAGCAGGTGTGCCCCACTGCAAGGGAAAATTAATCGTTCTTTAGAGATCCACAAAGGTCTTTTTGTTGCTTTTCAACAGGTACGGGTTCACTTTTGTAGGAATTCGGAACGGCCATATGAGAGTAGAGAACCAAAGAAAAGAAATAGAAGAGTAAGTAGCGTGGTGTGTTTGATGTTTGTGACGTCTTAACCCCACAGTCAACCTTGGGTGGATTTCGGAAGGGCCACAAAGGAAACTTCTTTCATCTATAAATGGATAAGACTCTGCTTTCCGGGTTGGAGTTTTATGTAAATGTAGCTGGAGTGGAAGACCTTTTTCTAGAGTGGTAGTAACTGGGACTTGAGATGGAAATTATTTGTTTGGTTCACATGTGGGTCCAAGAGCCCGAATGAGAATCTGCCTGGACTTTCTTTCTGAAACACAGATGCTAATGTTAGGTCTCCAGCACACGCTGTAAGAAAAATCCATGAACTTGTATGAAACCTTCCGCTGTCCAGAACCCAGCCAGTCACTCTGGGATGGCAGACTCAACCAGTCATGGCAACTTTGGTGTCAGAAGCTTTGTCTTATTCTCCCCCACTCAAATGTGAGCCCCAGGGCAAAAACCCCGAGGCGGAAGTGTTTTGGGTCCTTTTTTTTTTTTTTTCCTCCTACAGAGAGCCCAACGAACAAAACCGCCTTGGCTTAATAGCAGATTTTAATTAGGGTCTGTGATTAATTTGAATTCCTTCATCTGAACTCGAAATGTAATTATCTGACTTCTATTCTGGCCCCTAGCCTCTCAGGAGACCCATCTCAGAAACCTGTAATATGTGTAGATGTGTTTGGGGAGTGGACCCCTTAGGGAAATGATGCCTAAAAGCCAGGCAAAGGCTCTTTGGCCTGACTGCCAGGAACCCGGATCATGATTAGAGTCCAGATTCTAGCCGGTTCACAACAGTGCCCCCATCTGGTCGACACCAAATGATACGTTCCGTGTAGATCTCCTTCACACCTCCCAGAAAGGGTGCCCTGCCCACTCCCATCAAAAACAGGCTTCATAGTAAATATTCTTAGGTCAACTACTTGCGTCCAAGTTGCTCATTTTCAAAAAATATTTCCCCATGTCTTTGTAATAATTAACCCTATTTTTACTCTTCTGTCTTCTTTCATCTGATTTATTAACCCAGTACAAATCTGATCATATCATTCCACTGCTTGAACCCTACAGTGACTTCCTGTTGCTCGTAGGATAAAATTCCAAATCTCAGAAATGGACCACAATGTTTTCAGCTCCCGGCCCTTGCTTCCCCCTCTGGCTGTGCCCCCACCAACTAGATTTCAAGCTTCAGTGAACTATTTCTGCACATGCCTTTTTCTCTACTCACTATGCCATGCCACCCTTTTTTCATCATGTCACTCCTGCAGACCACAGACGAGGCACTACCTCTTCCGGGAAGCCTTCCTTCAGATATCTTCTTTCTGGGCTCTCACATCTCCCCTGTGAGTTTCTTTATTACAGTGTGTGGCTGATTGAGACGCAGTCCTTTCATTACCCTCCACCTCCCTTATCACACAATGAACCTCTTGAGGGAAGGAACTCAGGCAGAGTCATGTCTTTTTCCCAGTACCTAGCATGGTGCTCGACCCATAGTAAGCACCCCATCGACAATTAAAATGATTGGCAAGATGGGACTATTTCTAGACCCCTCCAGAAATGGCTTGTCTGGGCAGCTCTTTGTCTGCCAGTCCTATGTCGTCACTCTGTCTTTATCATTTGCAGTAATCTAATGGGAGGATACAGATATCCCTTAACCAACGCTGGCATGCTCTGACACCACGTTCTAAGCGCAGAAAAATGTCAGAGTCCCAATGGAAAGTGACAGCTGTGCCCTCAGCCAGCAACCCTTACCAGAAGGGGAGAATTCTATTCAGGATGTTTCTGTGGTGGGATATTTTTCCCCAGTGTGGCCTAGGTATTTTCTCTTTCTCATTTTTCTCCTCATAAAGGTATGAACTTCTTCACACCTTAAACTTTGACGCTGTCCGTCGTCGTATGAGTGTCATTGTGAAGACTCAAGCAGGTATACATTTTTAAATAAAAACTTGACTTTTTCTCTTTTTCCATTTGTATATTTGTATGTTGATCAGTTATTTTAAGGAAGGAAAACATCTCATGTAGTAATAGATGACTACCTTAAAGTCATGCAAAGCAGTAACTTCTGTGTACGCCCTAATGTGCTTCTGTAAGCACGTATGTACAGTTTGCCGAATTGCCAGAGGCAGAGCCCTCGTATGACAGTATGTGAATTTTCTCGGAAACTGAACTCTACTCTTCAGTCCTGAGTGTCCAGGCAGAAACTGAAAGGGTGACTTTTTTATAATTCATGGTACTGACCAATCGCAGTAATGTCTACATGTAGCAGCCCAGTACAGCGGGATGGTTTGAGATTAACTAGCAGTAGAATTCTTGAGTATGGAGAGTTGCTGGCTCTCTCTGCTTCCCTTCCTCACTCCCCACTGCTTTATACTCCCAGGGAGCAGGCAGGCTAGGGATGACTAAGGACCAGATTGCTGGGAAAGGATGTGGTGGCTTCACTCCAGCATGCTGGGCTCTTTGTTTGATCAAGTGGGGAAGCTTGCCCTTGGCACTGGAACCGGTACCATCATCCCAGGGTTCCCCCGCATCCTTTGGAGGAGTCATGGTAGCTGACATACCTTCTGCTTGGTTAGAACAAGAGCCGTAGGGGAGCACTTACTTGTGGGCTCCCAGATGCCTCTGTGTATGTGCGTGTGTGTGTATGTGTGTGTGTGAGAGAGAGAGAGGGACAGACACGGAGAGAGACAGAGAGAGACTGTGACTGTTTCTATGTGCTTTTTCAAATTTTCCTTGATTTATATCCTAGTAACTTACCTTTTAGTGTTTTTTTTTTAAGATTTTATTTATTTATTTGACAGAGATTACAAGTAGGCAGAGAGGCAGCGGTGGGGGTGGGAGCAGGCTCCCCGCTGAGCAGAGGGCCCAATGTGGGACTCGATCCCAGGACCCCGAGATCATGACCTGGGCCGAAGGGAGAGGCTTAACCCACTGAGCCACCCAGGCGCCCCACTTTTAGTGTTAAATCTATCCCAGATTCCTTAGTGTGAGAATGGGAAGATACAAACAGACCCTTGAGGGAACGTTTCCCCCTTTATTCATACTTTGCGGTGTGACTGCCAGGTCATGAAATTGATTTCATTCTGTGAATGCCAAATTTGTCCTGTGGCTTTTAAACACACTGTGGATGTGTGAGAGAAAATTAAAAGAGAAAACCACTTAACATTTGAGATATTTGGTGATCTTACCTGTCTGTATGTATGCACTTACACATTCTACTGCAAATGATGAGACATCTGGGGAAGTGGTCTGCCAAGGGCCTTGACCTCAGCTGCACTTCTTTTTAACTTCTTGAACTGAGCATTTTGCTTTATATGGGTAAAGTGGTTTTTTTTTTAAGATTTTTATTTATTTATTTGACAGAGATCACAAGTAGGCAGAGAGACAGGCAGAGAGGAGGAAGCAGGCTCCCTGCTGAGCAGAGCCTGATGCGGGGCTCAATCCCAGGACTCTGGGATCATGACCTGAGCCAAAGGCAGAGGCTTTAACCCACTGAGCCACCCAGGTGCCCCATAAAGTGTCTTTCTTAATGCTCAACGGCAACTCCTCTGCTGGTTGCATGGACTGACAGAAAGCCACACTTACACCAGCACTCTACAGTGCTATTTTCAAGTTTCTGGTACAAACTCCCAAGCCACTGTTTTTAAAGCAACCTCTGTAATTCATTCAAAATGATTTATTTTATTTGCGCTTGGGCTTGGTCTTGACATCAGTAGAATGCCATGTGTGCACTTTAAAACATGCTTGGCAGCATTTTCAAAGAGAATTCAGAAGGAGCTCCTTGACATAAGTACAGTCTCCCATGATTCCCTGAAAGGAAGTACACTTTAGCAGAGGAACTTGTTGTACGCTCTTGAGTTGTTTGTGTCCATGCTGGTATTCAGAGGTAATGAGCATTGTCCTGTGAGAGTGAAGGTCGAGATGTCTCATCCCAGGATCCACAGTAGCTGAGTGGGAGAGGCCGCCTTAATAGTTGCTGTTATTAGGGGCGCCTGAGTGGCTCAGTGGGTTAAACCTCTGCCTTCGGCTCAGGTCATGATCCCAGAGTCCTGGGATCCAGCCCCAAATTGGGCTCTCTGCTCAGCGGGGAGCCTGCTTCCTCCTCTCTATTTCTCTGCCTGCCTCTCTGCCTGCTTGTGATCTCTCTCTCTGTCAAATAAATAAATAAATCTTTTTAAAAAGTAGTTCCTGTTATTAAAATCCCAATACCAGTCTTAAAATTCTAAGTTGAGCCCTTGTTTTTTTGTTTATTTTAGGAGACATCCTTCTCTTTTGTAAAGGAGCAGACTCCGCGGTCTTCCCCAGGGTGCAAAATCATGAAATTGAGTTAACAAAAGCCCATGTGGAACGTAATGCCATGGTGAGCCTACATCCTTCTAGAAATGCTAAAGATGACTGTTTGATGGGATTTCTATTTAAATGTTTAAATGAATTTTAGCTTCTTTTTTATAGTCTATTTTTATATTGGGGGATTTAGTAATACTGTTTTCCTTACTGTAATGTAAAACGTTATCCTGGAGCATATTTCTGTGCAGAATTTGCAGACTTGAAGACTTTTCAAGAATCTTTCATTTATGTTCTGCTTTCTTTTCTTTAAGAGCTAGTATTTTGTTATTCTGAACCTAATTGAATGTTAACCTGTTTACTTGCAATCTGTTAGTGTTTTTTTTTTTTAACTAAACATATATCAGAATTTCTTTGTACAGTGAAATGAGGGTATTTAAAGGGACTGTGGAATTTTTCTCCCAATTCCTTGGATAACTAGAGATCTTCTTTCTCTCTAGGATGGATATCGGACACTTTGTGTAGCCTTCAAAGAAATCACTCCAGATGATTATGAAAGAATTAACAGACAGCTCATAGAGGCAAAAATGGCCCTACAAGACAGAGAAGAAAAAATGGAAAAAGTTTTTGATGATATTGAGACAAACATGAATTTAATTGGAGCCACTGCAGTGGAAGACAAGTAATTACAAAATGATTTTCTTGTCATTTTAATGACCAGTCATTTAGAGTGGTTTCTGTCCAGATTGGTAATTTTATTCTCAAATTTTGAAATCTTCTATTCAGATCTGTTGCTAGACCAGACTTTGAACCGTCTGTGAGAATGATTTTTTTTAAGTGAAATATTTGTGGCTTAGAAGAATGAATCTGTCATCTCGAAGATCTTTTGCATGTTTACACCTTGAATTTCCTATTTCACAAATACCTGCATAAGTCTCATGATGTATTGAGAGCTTTGTGCTGGAGGCATCCTTTGAGCTGCTGCCCGATAGAATTGAAAAGATTTTGGCAGACAGAAATGAACGGAAAGGAAATTCGAGTTAGGGCAAACAACGTGAGAGCTCATTCGAGCCTGCTTCAGCAGGCTAGAGCATGTTTTTGCATACTTTCAAATAATTTGTTTTAACTCTCCAGGCTTAGCTGCACTAGACAGGATTGGAGGGCTCTAGCATTGATCCGTCTGAAAGAATACATTTTAGACTCTTAATATTTTAGGAGCTTTTAGGAAATTATAAATGCAAATTTATGAGACTTAGCCCCCCCAAAAAAGTTTTATCTATATATATATATTTTTTTTTTCAGCCACATTGGAAGATTTTGAAATTTTAATGAGATTCATTTAGTCTAATATCTTTCTCATTCCCTGACCAAAGGGAGCTCAAAGAAAGTAGTATTCTCTCCGTGCCTTTTGGATTTATGCTTAAATTCTCTCTGGGGCTGGTTGGCTTTCCTGTTCTCAAAGCTGCTCAGCAAGGGGGATTCACTAACGTCCCTTGACACCGCACTAGAATGCCTTTTCCGTTTTGCTCCGTGTCAAGTATTTGTATACTGAGATATAAAATTTAATGAAATAAAGTGACAGTGAATGAGAACATGCAGTGAGTTGATGAACATTTTAGCTAGGAGGGAGGAGTCTGCCATTGGATACCAGTTACCTAAAGAGAGGTCATTAACTTTTCCAGACCTCCCTGCTTGAAAGTCACGTTAGTCAGTCAAACCACGCCAGAGGTCGCACTCCCAGAAAGAGTAGCGGGTGTGTAGGGAGGCCAGCTGATAACATGTCAGGACTCCAGAATTGCCGTGGGTTGTAGGACTGCTCTCGCAAGCCTTCTTGCAGCATCTCTGTCGGGAAGTTTTGAGGATAACAAGGGCTCCTTTTGTGCCCAGGCTGCAAGATGAAGCAGCTGAGACCATCGAAGCTCTGCACGCGGCCGGTCTGAAAGTCTGGGTGCTCACCGGCGACAAGATGGAGACGGCCAAGTCCACTTGTTACGCGTGCCGCCTCTTCCAGACCAGCACGGAGCTCTTGGAACTGACCACTAAAACCATCGAAGAAAGTGAAAGGAAAGAAGATCGGTTACATGAATTGTTGATAGAATATCGTAAGAAGTTGCTGCATGATTTTCCTAAAAGTACTAGAAGCCTTAAAAAGTAAGAAAGTGCATCGGTTTCTTATACTTAGGCATGGGTAGAAATGTAAATCCCGGCTATTCGTACGGAAGGCTGTTTTCTGTGATTGATCATTCTTTGTTTGCAGGTGTTTTATCCTTGTAAGTTAAAACCTTCCCTGAGGACTTGGCCGATGGCTCATTTGAGGTTATTTGGTACTTTCTGCCTCTCTTTTAATGTAAAAGAAAATTGTGTATTTCTTGAGATTTAGAAAAGTGGTTCAGTTCCTTCGTGTTTAGGGTTTGGGGATTTAGCCCTGATACCCTGTCCTGGTCTGTGTCAAGAGAAAACACTCCTTCTTGTGGCCTCTTAAATTGAATGCAGGAAACCCGATCTGTGTAACAGTCGCCCAGCAATGTGAGGTCCTAGAGCCGTTTTCTCTGTAGATCTTCAAGCCCCAGAACCCCGAAGGGAACCGAATATTCTGTTAATAACATGGCCACTTCAACTCTGCTTTCAATGAGCTGCTTGGGAAGAACTTGTAGGACTTAAGGATCTTAAGAAAAGCCTCTCATGCATAATAATTCCATGCCCAGAGATCACTGACCAAGGCTTAGCCTTGTCTAAACCAGTTTCTAGAATTTACTATGGCCGTCAGCAAATCAACTGCCTCTTCTGGAATGCCGCAGGATGTCCCCACACTAAATCCAAAAACCCCTAGCTTAAAGTACTTTGCATTTTTTTTGAGCATACCCTTCGTTTCAGGAACCGTATTTAGCACTTTATATAATTATTCTCACTTGGTCTTCATCACAACCCAGTAAGGCTGTCTTATTTTCTTCACTTTACAGATAGTAAGGCTCAGAGAGATGCAGTAACTTACTCAAGATCACACAGCTAATAAGGGGGCGGGGGGCGGGGGGGGCGCGGGGAACGAGTCTGTCCAATTCCAGAGCCCAGGCTTTTAACAACTATGCTCTCTCAGGACCCGCGTGTCTAGTGCATAAACAGGCTTTACAAATGACTTCCCCGCACTCATGAGGCTGTGGCCCATTCTGAACCAGCTCTTGTCCTCCTGGCACTTGGGCATCATTGAGAGCAAACACGATCTTATGATTGCCGCTCATAAATGTCTCCTTCCTTTAGCCAAATGGTATGTAGAAAGGCAGTCCAAATTATATTTTACTCGTCCATTTGTCTTAATCCGTTCTGGCTAACATAATAAAATGTTATGGGTGGCTCAAACAACAGAAACTTACTTCTTCTATTTCTGGAGTCGACTTCTGGTGAGGTCCCTCTCCCTGGCTTATAGAAAGCTACCTTCTCACTGCGTCTTTCCACGGCACAGAGATGAAGTTCTGGTGTCTCTTCTTAAAAGGGCACTCATCTCGTGCCATGGGCTCCACCCTCATGACGCCACTTCCCACAGGCCCCATCTCCAGACACCGCCCCATTGGGGGTTCGAGCTTCAACATAGACTTGGAGAGGAAGGGAGACATGGGACACAGTTTGGTCCATAGCACCATTGAGCGGCTCCGGGGTCCTTTTGTAAAGGCCAGGGCTTCTGAAAAACTGAACTCACCATCTCAGAACATTCCTTCTTGTGGTTCATCTGTTTGGAGTTGGGCCCAGACTTCCCTCAAGTTCTGTAAGTAAGCATCAGACCCAGAATCCCTTTTGTTGCTTCTGCTGCTTTTGAGCAGCTTGTGCCTTGAATCCCCAAGGCCCTCTGCCAGACGAGCGGTTCTCCATTACATCCAGAATGAGGTCGCAGCGAACGCCTCAAATGACCTTTGCACCTTGCTTTCCTAGTGCACCCCAGCACCCTTCTCTCCCTTCACCTCGTTCTGCCCAGTTCCATTTCAATTTCGGTCCTCGGGCTATTAGCCATTTAGTATCTGGCTTGTGGCATATGTTCTCTCCCGTATATTTCTGTGCTCTCCCAGGGAAGATGAGTTAATGATTCTTCCCATTCTTCTTGTGTGTCCTACTTAGACTTGATGCTTATAAATATTGCTGGATTTGTTAGGGAGCCACTGTTCTCTGCATATTAAGCGAGCTCTGAGTAGAGGAGCAGAGGAGAACACATGATTGTTATCTCTTTAATTAGTGAATAAAACGTGCTTCTAAAATTATGAAGCAGAATATGGACAAGTAGAAAATACCGCAGTGTCAGTATACACCAAGGGAATGTGGAATGAGGAAGGAGGAGGCCCACGAGGCTCTCACCCCTCAGATGTTTGGTCCATTGGACAGCAGCTCCCTGATCACTAGAAGCTTGTTGGAAACGCAGAATCTCCTGTCCCACCGCAAACCTAGTGAGTCCGAATCTACACTCGGACAAAAGTCTCAGGAGTTTTAACAAGATTCCCTTAAACCTTAAGCTTCAGGAAGCCTGAAATTAGACAACTGAATCGGTAATGAGATCGTGCTGTGTCTAATACTTCGACTGCACTGGTGCTCCAGTGGCATCCAAGAGTCCCCGAGAAAGATTGATTAATCGCTATTTTTTCCTAATTATGAAAAAATGAAATGTTAATTGGGAGAATTTTCTCAGTTGTAAGTTTTCTGCCCTATGGTTTTTTTTTTTTTTTTTTAAAGATTGATTGATTGATTTTAGAGACAGAGAGAGGGCATGCACGCCAGGGGTGGGAGGGGGGTTGGAGAAGGAGAGCAGAGCCAGACATGGGGTTCGCTCTCACCACCCTGAGTTCATGACCTGAGCCGAAACCAAGAGTTGGTCATTTGACTCCTGGTCACTTGACCAGGAGCCCCTCCCATATTTTTTCTTAAGTAGTTGCACCTGTTTTATTTGTACTTCCTGGCACCTAATATCTCTTAGTTGTCCTGGCTATGCATGAGGATCACCTACAGAGTTTCCTAAAACATAAACCTATAAATTAACAAGCAGTGGCAAAGATACTCTGATTTAATTCATCTGGGAATAGACCTCAGGCATGGGCAATTTTTTAAAGCTGTCCAGATGATTCTAATGGGAAGGCTATGGTTGAGAACCACCAATCCAGTATAAAATGATACTGATTTAAGGAACATATATCATTATTGTACGGGAGTTTTTAATGAACACTGTGTCTCTTAGGCTCTCCATCATTTTTGAGAAGCCAGGTTTGTTGACAGGCTTTGTCATTCAGAAAAAAAAATTCTTCTGTGATTTGTATACCCAAAGCCATTTTGTCTTTTTTCTTATATTATTAAGAAGTTTTCAGATTGGCGATTTGACTTCATATCAGAGTTTGACTGATTGATCTGTAATTTCCACAGTTCGCCTTGAGTTTCTTACACAGAGACCAGCTGCTGAATGTCCGTTATTTTTATACCTTTTAGAACTTAGAATCTTTATGGGCAGCTCGAGTCTCAAAAGATGTCATGGGAAAGTCTCACTCGTGCCATTGTTAGAGACAGTTGCTTCTCTACTGTTCATAGGTTCGGGAACCAGACTGATGATGGCCCTTATGCAGGACCCTCCTCTTTGTGGTTTTAAACACAATCAGGCTTCTAATCTTCTATATAGGAGATTCAATTACAGCATTGTTTTTCTTTTCCAGAGCATGGACAGAACATCAAGAATACGGATTAATCATCGATGGCTCCACGTTGTCACTCATACTAAATTCTAGTCAAGACTCCAGTTCTAACAATTACAAAAGCATTTTCTTGCAGATCTGCATGAAGTGCACTGCTGTGCTCTGCTGCCGGATGGCGCCATTACAGAAAGCCCAGGTAACCGGATAGGAGTTCGTGGTCCGTTCTGGGGCTTTCTGTACACGCGTGTGCAAATGTTCACTTCCTTTTTGTTCCTTCTAGGAGCCCTCTCTACCTTATTACATCTTCCCAGGCTTCTGCTTCTCCACAGTCAAATTCAGAGGTCTGCCCACCAGTGTAAAGGGACCCCATGCTTCTTGTCCCCTCAAGCTGGCTGTCCGGTTCCTTCCTTGCCTTCCAGACTTCTCTAATGAGGGCTTGGTGCGTGCTGCCTCCATCCCGCTGCCCCTCGCTCCCCAGGGACGTTAGCCCGTGTGTTCTGTCTTCCCATCACATCGTCAACATCCGTTGGCTCGCCTGGAGGGGAGCGCTGACCGCCTTGCCAAATCCGTCGCGCTGGCTTTTGTTCTCCTCCTTGTTTCTCTGCCGCAGTTAACACTACCGGGCCTATCCTCCTTAAAACTTGCCTCCCTGAGTTTCTGTCTACAGTCCACGATCTTGACTCTTTTTTTTTTTTTTTTTTTTGGTCCTACTTGGCAACCTAGTGTCTTTATATTTTGTGTCATCTTCTCACTAATTACCATTTTTCACTGGGGCTAAGCCTTCCTTCTGCTTTTCACTTACAGCCTGTCTCTCTAAACACGAATTTCTAGGGCTCTCATTGGTAGTGTCTGGTACTGACTTTTCCTTTATGCGAAATCTCTTACCTCGAGCTGCCTGTTAGCTCCGTATGGAATCCCCACTGTCATATTAAATTCCAGTGTCCAAGCCAGATCTTAGAATTTCCTCCTTCAGGCCATGTTTTTCTCCCTTCTCTTCATTATTCTTGTCACCGGCACCACATTTTTTTTTTGCTCCCGAAGTCACCAAATGACCTCTGCCCCTTCTCTTCTCATTCGCTCTGTATCTAGTCACTGTGCCCCGTTGATCGTACGTTTTGTCATAGCTCTCATTGGGCTGCAGTCTTCTTAAACCTTCCATTCCATCCCAGTCCAAGTCCTGAGACTTCACACGGACTCTGATTTAGCCTCCTTGCTTTCGCCCTTCCCCCTTCAATCTCTTGCCATGCTCCCAAATGAATCTTGTTAAAACACCACTTCTCCCGTTACATATTCTTACTCAGATATTTTCATAGGTTCCTAGTCCCTGAGGACGAAGGGCAGGTGACTCTGGCATTCAGGCTCACCCCTGTTGGCCTTGCCGTGTGTCTCTGTGCTCCGTGTCCACTGTCCCTCCCGCATCCAGCTGGAATCGGCCGCTCCTCCCTCTGTGTCGCTCGCACTTACTGTGCTCATGCCAGCTTCCACGTCTGGAATTCTCTCTGAAATCCTCTTGGCCTTACAGAAATTTTAATCGCAATTAAACCTGATTTAAGGGCCACCCCCCATATGCCGTTTTCCCCAGCTCCTCCAGCCCCACATTGATCTGCCTCACCTTGCTTTTTGGCTCTTGGTGCAGAGAACCTTAGAGTGTCAGTTCCAGACTTATTGTTGTTTCTTTGTGTTCCTCGGCTGCTTGCTCGAGACCCAGGGAATGGCTGTGTCCTTGATTTGTCCTTTACACAAACTCTGCTCCCTACTTCACACATGTGCACATGCAGCCCATCCCAATTTAGGGTATTGTCTCTGTCTGCTTTCTTCTCACTCTCAGTCCCCACCGCGATCACGTGCTCCTCCTCTTTTCTTTTTTTTTCCCTTCAACCTTCAGAGCCTTGGTTAGCCCCAGTTGAGGAAGCGATCCTGCTAGAACCATCTCCACAGAAATCTGTCCCTTTAGTCAGAGGCAGTCTCTTTTTATTATCTGTTGCTCGAATTGCTCACTAGGATTCTGGTTACTCTGCTGTCCAGGAGTTACTTGAATTACTGACCCCATACTGCTTCCCCGAGCTTCTCCTGGCCAGGATACAGAGCCTCCCTGTAGCTCCGTCCTTGACCTGTTTTATCTCCTTCTCTATAGTCCCATCTTCTAAGCTGTCACCTCCTCCCCGTCAGGCCCACGTAGGTGATTTTCCAGTCCCTTCTCCAGTCCAAATACTTGGGCTTCTACTTCACTTGTCCAGCTGTTTACTGAACGTGCCTTCTTGGGTGTTGTTATAACCATCTCAACTCAGCTTTCTTTAGAGCCCATCATCTTCCTTGTCTTCTCCCGCATGGGTTACTGAGCTCACTGTACTTTTGGATTTCTAGATTCAGAGCCTTGAAATCTGTGGTGACTCCCCCATGCTTTACCCTTCCATGTGGTTTCGGTCACCAAATTCTGTCCATTTTCTAGTACATTGTCTTTTTCGTCTTTTCTTTCCTGGCAGAGGCAGGCCTTTAACAGCTCATTGAACTCCTAGCTTGGCTCTTTGCCCGCAATCTTGCTTTTTCTTCCTATTTCTCCTGCACCCTGCGACCACTTTTATATTCTCGCTCCCTGTTGATCTGGACCCGGATGTAGCGGTCCATGCCCTGTGTATGAAAACTCATTGATCTGGTCAAGCCAGTCTGTCTGCTGAGCATAGATTGTACTTAACCTGGCTGTGTGCCTTAGGTCATGCCATTCCCTGTCTCTGGAATACTCCTCGGGTCCCCATTTTCCCTTCCACGCAGATCTTCAACCATCGTTCATGATTTAGATAAAATTACTCTTCCTTCTGTAAAGTCATTCCTGATGACTCAAGCATGTAGCATCCCCTCCCTTCTCTGCCATCTTGGGCCTTTTTATGTGGACAACTTAGACGACAATGTTACATACTTCCTTGGACAGGTACCTCACAATGTTAGTGTTTATCGTTAATCTGATTCTCTAATATTCTTGTATTCATTCCCCGTGTCTGCTCGTCTATTAGCTGTTTCTTAAGGTGTGTGACCAGCCTTCTTTCTTGGATGTTTGCACATGACATTGTACATTGTATTGTGTGCAGTTGCAGCTGATCGATAAATAGTTTTTGGCACATTGATTTCTTTCGCACGAAGAGAAGTTCTTAATCCAGGTGACCTGGGGCATGGTTAAAAAAAAAATTAAAAAAAATCAAAAAAGAAAACAAAGAAAAACCATGTTTACCTATCTAAATCTTTCATGATTTTATAGTCCACGACTATGTATCTTTTCATCTTTCTACAAGGATGACCTTTAATCTTCTTAATCTGTATTTTCAGGCAGGAGCTGTCACCCTTGCTAATTTTATCGCCTTCCCTAGACCTTTCCTGGCTGCACTTTCTCTTCTTTGAGGTGCAAGTCATTGCTGCACAAGTTTCACAGGTGCAATTAGGTTAACCAGAATTGTAGCTCATCAAATACAATTTTAGTGTGGGTTCTTTAAGTTTGTCTTTGACTCATTTACAGATTGTTTCTGAGAGTCTCTAAAATTTTTTTAAAAAGAACCAAGTTGTGGGGAGGGAATAGGGGAAAGCTGGCATTTCACAGTAACAGCATTTTTGTGTTACATGGAATTGGATGTGGGGTTTTTTGTACACTATTTAGTACAACTAAAACATAACTGGGTTTTGTTTAAAGAGAAGACTGTGGGGTGGCTTAGCCTCTTATCCGTTATTTTTAATCAGTTGTGTTGAACATGGAAACTTGTGAAAGCAATTCTAAGGACAGAATTTCTGCAAGGCATTAGTTAGCTTCTGCATTATATACACTTTTTTTAAGCTGCCAGATTCTAGACAGTTTTGAGGGGTGACGCATAAAGCGGTCATTATCTATAAACGTGGGGTGGGAGGGCGGCTGCTTACCCAATATACCTCCACACGTGACTCCACCAGGAGATGATTTCTTTCATTCGCTACCTGCCACGAACACAGCAGTGAGCTGCATTGTGCCACTGACACATCTTGAAGAGACACTCCAGGAAGAGTGACAGGCTTTATACACTCATCTCAGAGAACTTTCTGCACATCTCACTACCTTCAAGATGCCCGCATTTAAAAACGAAGCTACCTGTGGAAGAGATGAAATCATAGTGGGCATTGGGAGATTTAGTAAAGTGTAGCTGGCAGCTGGATGGGTGTAAGACTACCATTGGGGAAGTCCCTGGGAATATGGGAATGCACCAAAGGGAGTGGTTGGATCTGCAGGGAGTAGAGCTGGAAAGGTTCTAGAAGCATCGTTCTCTCATTTCCCACGCCTATTCCAGTAACCCTATACATGTTACTTCAGATCAGCTTTCTGGTCTCCACTGTCCCACTCAACACCTCATCTAAAAGGACATGTGAAGCAATGACAAAAGAGGGAAACAGGTTGGCCTCTAGTATAGGTAGGAGACAAGGTTCTCTGACACTTCCTGTATGCATGGAGCCCAAAAAAAGGTGGGCACTGGTGTTACATTTAAAATGCTACGTTCTTTTGCCTCTGAGAATTGAATTAAAGGCTGTCGTATGTAATACGCGCCAAGCACCTTTCTGTTTGTTTGCAGGGCCTCCATTTACAAGAGTGAGTGCGGCATATGCACTACTACAATGTCGTAGTCCCACATTCTGTTTGACCTTTTCTGTACCTCTTTTGTATTTAATGTGTAGATTGTCAGAATGGTGAAGAACCTAAAAGGCAGCCCAATAACATTGTCGATAGGTGACGGTGCCAATGATGTTAGTATGATCTTGGAATCCCATGTGGGAATAGGTAAGAACCACCTAATGAAATGCTTGTAGTTAACATGGTCTTCTGTTCGAGAGAGAAGCGTTGTGGTTACTCATCTTGAATTTTAATTTGGGAAAGATAATTATTCATTGAATGAACATCCTCATCTAACCTGTCCATCCCAAAGTCCTATCCAAGTTGGATTGCTATCCAACGTAGCAATACCAAGTTAGAGGATATTTTTATATTAACCAGGTCAAGTGAATTTCCCAAACCTACTGGCAGTGCACGTGATCATTTAGCTCTCACTTTGACAGCGGGCATGCAGTGTTACTGATTTTCTGCCCCTGGCCACATCGCCTACTTACATTGCTGCACTGAAACTTCTGAGATTCTCAACTGTTTGGGACTAAGAAATGACACTTGGTAGGCTGGTTTTCCACGTGGCAGTATTCATGGGTGCTTTGGGCGGTGGTGTCGAGTTTATGTGTTGGCATGCAACCACAGCTTTTTCTACTGCCTGTACCATTTGTTCCCCCATGTCAGGCTGCTGATAGGCAGCAATCCTAATACCCCAGCAAGCCTTTTTTTTTTTTTTTTTTTTTTTTTTGGAAGGGAAGAACTAATGGTATTCAACTCTCAGGTGTACTCCTTGGTTATTCAGTATGGAAGTGGCCTAAAGCTGCTTGAGCTCATGGAACACTTGGGCTACTACTCAGAGTTTCATTCAGTGAGAGCATTTCACCATCTCCTTGTAACTCTCCAGTTTTGAGCTCCTAAACCACAAACCCCAGGTCTCTGAGTTGCTTAAATATAGCCTCTTGTCTAGGGGCATGTACATTTACACACTTAACTAAGTGCCTTTTTTCAGGTAAATATTCTGATTTAATTTTTTTCCTTAATTTTGCCTTGTAATGATTAAAACAGTGATTTTGTTTAGTGGTCTTATTTTGTGTTATAAATAAGTAATTATCAGTTAAATTTTACTTTTTACTAGTAAGATTCATTGTCACTGTTAAAATACTTTTTGGTTAAAAGAATTTTAAACTAAAGTGAACTGTGCCACATAAACAAGTTAAAAGTGTGAAAATAGCAAATCAGGAGGTTGTTTATTTTATGAAGTACTCATAGAGATGTTCTCATTTTCAGGTATTAAAGGCAAAGAAGGTCGCCAAGCAGCCAGGAATAGCGATTATGCTGTTCCGAAGTTTAAACATTTAAAGAAACTGCTCTTGGCTCACGGACACCTATATTATGTGAGAATAGCACACCTTGTACAGTATTTCTTCTATAAGGTATGAAACAAAATAATCTATAATTGGACTTATCACCATCTAACCCAGCAGTGGTTCAGCTCGGGCATAGGATTTTCCTCCCTTTTTTCACTGTTCCTTTGCGGTGTTAGTACTGAGATTTGTGGTCTACAAAACACAAGTGATCTAGCTAATGAATCAGAAACTAGAAATTCCTGGGGCTCCTGGATGGCTCAGTTGGTTAAACGTCCGACTCCTGATTTCAGCTCAAGATTGTGATCTCAGGGTTGTGAGATCAAGCCTTGCTTTGGGCTCTGCGCTCAGCAGGGAGACTGCTAGAGCGTCTCTCCCTCTCCCGCTGCCCCCCGCCCACACATCTGCGTGTGCACTCTCAAATAGATAAAAGTCTTTTTTAAAAAAAAGAAACTAGAAATTCCTTTTAATGCGAGCAATTTAGGATGAAATTTTTAAGTCAGCTTTCTTGAAGTGGAGTTTAAATGCAATAAAATGTACCCATTAAAAGTGTACGGTTTCGTTTTGACAAATGTATACAACCACGTGACCATCATCCCAGAAAGTTCTCATGTGCTCCTTCCCAGTCTCCTCTACTTTGCACCAGTGACTAATCTGATTTATATTGCTATCCAATATATAGTGATACTTACAACATACAACATATAAATTTTGGTATAGTTTATGCAGTATGCACATTGGAGTTGCCTGTTTTAGAACTTCATATAAATAAAATCATATGTGCTCTTTTTATCTCTGGCCTATTTCATTAGAGTAATGTTTTCAAGATTCAGGTTGTATCATATCAATAGTTGGTTCCCTTTTACCCTAAACAGTATTCTGAACTACTCCTTTTAGTTACCGAGTCCTCTTTTCAGGTGCAGTTGTACAAGTAAAGCAAATAGAAGCAAAATTGCATTCGTTGAAGGGTGATGGGTCAAGGGCTGTGTCCTTGCTCAATCTCCTTGTCTTGCCCAGAGATTGCACAGAGCACACTCTGAAGTCCCATGAATACAGTACAAGCCCCTCATTTTATGCCTAATGAACCTGGCATACGTGAAGGTGAACTAACATCTATAGTATGAAAATCATTTTAAGCCAACATGGGCCAGAACTTGATATCTTGTCCTGTGTTCTGTTCAGTATAGTTTGTTTTTAGTTGGTTTTTTTTTTTTTCGCTTTTTGCATTGAAATAATTTCAGGCTTTGAAAAAGTTGCAAAATTAGTAAAATAATTTCCAGATGCTCTTTGTCTACTGTTAACACCTTAGATAACAACATAGTTATCGAGATCCGTAAATTGAAAGTAATCGGCACGTTATTAACTAGTCTACATGTAGTATTGGAATTTTGCCAAAGGTCGCACTGGTAATCTCTCTGTGGTCCATTTCAGGCTCGTGACTGCATTTAGCTGTCATACCTCCTTAGTCTTCTTTACACTGGAATACTCCTATCTTCTTTGTCTCCGTGAGCTTAACATTTTTGAAGAGCACTGGCCAGTTTGTAGAATGTCCCTCAATGCGGGTTTGTCTAATGCTTGCTTACTGTGAGAATCAGCACCAATACCATAGAAGTAATGTTACCTGCTGAACATATCATATCGGGAGGCCTGTGTTGTCAGTATGTCTCACTTGGGATAATGTTGACTTGGATAACTTGATTCAGATGGTGTTTTGGGGGTCTGAAGACCCTTCAACTGTAATCTGTGTGATTTCATTGGAAAAGAGCAGTCTGCTACTAAAATAGATACTTTATTCTATGAGTTAAAAATTTATTACTATTGTTACTTATTCTCTTACTCAAGATTGTCACAAATTTAGCCTATGTCCTTTCAACATGTCCCCACTGTTTTTTATTTTTTATTTTATAGTGATAAGAATGCCTCACCTGAGCTCTGCCCGCTTAACAGATTTTGAAACGTACAATACAGTATTGTTAACTGTAGGTACAGTGGTGTACAGCAGAGCTGTAAAACTTGTCTTGCAAAACTAAAACCTTTTATCTGCTGAGTGTCAACTCCCCATTCTCCTCTCCCCCGCTCCCCAAACTTTTTTGAAGACTTATTTTCTGGTTCCATATGATACTCTAGGCTCATCTTGTAATTTTCCTGCTTTAGTCCTGGATTCAGACATTTCTCCAAGGAACACTGCTTCCTTTTATTTGCAAATGGCATTTAGAAATCAAGATCTTTGTGCCAATTATGCTCATTGCTGCTGAGCTGCCCTTGGTTCTAGGCCTTGTCGGCGAACAGAGCTAGGAAATACATATGAGGATACACGCAGATCTGTTATACTTGTGATTATATGTGTGGTGCGTACACACAACTTTGTTGGGCCAGAATCATAGGTAGCAGTATGAACCCAGAATGTGATCTCAGTTTATACTAGTCCTTTGATGCCAGCCAGTACCACAAGGTTTCATTCTGCCCTTCCTCTTTTCCTAATTTGTAATCCCTTTCTCCATTGGTGAGAATCTCAGTTCTCATTACCCTCAGTGTTGTTTATTTACTTGCTCAATCCAAGAATACTCATGATCCTGTGAGCAACAAACTAACTTGAGTGATGTCTTTGTTATGTACTTCTTTTTGTCTTTAGCCTTGGCGTATATCGTCAAAATACTATATGCAAAGTTATTTTTTTTCCTTTTCTACCATTTCAGTGTGGCTATGTTCTTTATTTGAAATAGGGTTATGTTAAATTTTTGTTCGTACACTATTTTGGTCCTTCATCTTTAATCCCGATTGATTTTAATTATTTTTTTAAGTACGTAAAACATTGGCATGGTGTTCTCCTCAAGATGAGGTTCTCTGAGAATCTTGCTTAGTGAGTTAATGCTCTAATCGAAAGGAAAATCGTGCAATAGTGATATTTCTCAAATCCCTCTTGCAAAAAAACTCTTTTTCCAAAATGAAGGTTTTGAGGTCATCTGTAATTATCATCCTATCCACAGAGAGAACCAATGGGTGACATTTTTATGTGACATGTTCTATATAAATTAAATTGTGTTACAATGTTTTTGGGTTTTGGTTTTTTTGGTGGTTTTTTCCCCCAAGTAATAATCTCTACACCCAACCTGGGGCCCGAACTCATGACCCCAATATCAACAGTCACACGTTCCATCAACAAAGACAGCGAGGTGCCCCTATGTTGATTTTATACACTACTGGGTTTTTTTTTTTCTATTTTTATATTGAGATACATTTCACATAACAAAATTCACTATCATACACTTAAAGTGTACAATATGGTGTCTTTTAGTGTATTTGCTATGATGAGCAACCGTTGCCACTATATATGTTCCAGAACATTTCCATCATCCCGTAGGAAGTCCCATACTTACTAGCAGTCAGTCCCAAAACATACTGTTTTGCTCTTTGCCCTTTTCACTTAATAATATATTGTGAACAATTTTCTCACCCAGTTAATTATTCACCTAAAGCACGATAATGGTGTGGGATCCCAAACCCCTGTGATTGGACATTGAGGTCACCTCCCCAACAATACCTTGGTTTTCTTTTATCACCAAGCATTAGAGTTCATGTTAGAGTGAGCCTGCCTACTCAGTTTTGTCTACCAGGGGATAGAATTAAGAACTTTCTTACCAAATTCTAGTTTGTAAGCACATTACCAAGTTCGTGTGCAAGTTAAATGATGCAGACCTTTATGGTGGTTAGATTTCATGTCGTGTATTTCACAGAAGGGAGAGCGCAGCAACTGTTTCCGTTTGTCAGTTTCCTGTGATCAGTCCCTGGTCTTACTAGCTTTCTGTTTCCTAAGACACACATAACTGCGAGGGGCGCCTGGCTGCTCCATCAGTACAGCATGCGACTCCTGACACAGGCTTGTGAGTTTGAGCCCTACGTTTAGCATGGAGCCTACTTACAAAAATGTTTTTTAAAAAATGTGTTGGGATGCCTGGCTGGCACCGTCAGTAGAGCGTGTGACACTTGATCTCAGGATTGTGAGTTTGAGCCCCACATTGGGTGTAGAGACTACTTAAAAATAAAATCTTAGGGGCACCTGGTAGCTCAGTCTTTAAGCATCTGCCTTCGGCTCAGGTCATAATCCCAGCGTCCTGGGATCGAGCCCTACATCGGGCTCCCTGCTGGGTGGGGAGCCCGATTCTCGTTCTCTCTCTCTCGCTGTGTCTCTGTCAAATAAATAAAAGCTTTAAAAAATAAACTAAAAAATCTTTTTTTTAAAAAAGATTTATTTATTTATTTATTTGACAGAGATCACAAGCAGACAGAGAGGCAGGCAGAGAGAGAGGGAAGCAGGCTCCCCACTGAACAGAGAGCCCAATGCGGGGCTTGATCCCAGGACCCTGGGATCATGACCTGAGCCGAAGGCAGAGGCTTTGACCTACTGAGCCACTCAGGTGCCCCTAAAGTAAAGAATCTTAAAAAATAAACAAATATGTACATATGTAAGTGTGACCCCAGGTTTACAGATCTGCTAAGACCCCATCATCCAGTATCAGCTGGTAGCCAGGCCAAACATAGATGATGGTGATAACGATGATTAACCCAGTATGTGTGAGATACTTTGCTGGTTGACAAAAGCACTCTATTTTCTTAGTCAGTCCTCACAAATCTCCTATGAGCACTTGCTATTATTTTCATTTAAACTATGTGCAAAGCAGAGCTCAGACAGTTTATGAAACTTGTGGGTCCCTCTTCAGCTCAGAGGTGGCAGAGCCGGATTCCCATAATAGGGTCATTTACTCTCAGTCCAGGACTCTTTGTACATCAGTTAGGGTCTGTCAGGCCTCGGCCTCAGTCATTGAACAGCTCCACTTGGAGACGGGTGGTTGGTTGTTCTCTTACCCGCCCCCCCCCCCCCCACCCCCCCCCCACCACTGCAGGCCAGCCCATGAAGATTTGCCCTGCGTATCTGCCTAGCTCTCTGGTCCCATTCCTAACGTCTGGTGTGCCTCAAGATTGTGGCCTGCAATTCACGCACCTACCACCAGATGGAAGGGATGCTCTGTTAAGGAAAACAAAACAGGCATTAAAATGGCTGTTTACCAGTAGCCAGTAATTAACATATCCCTGTTCGCAATGTAGGAAATTATTTGTGTAGGTGATGCCCTCTGTCTTCATAGGCTCTCTGTGCCCATTATCATCTTAGTTACTGACTCAGCAGTATTCCTTTTCCACTGCTGCCTTTTATCCCAAGGTGGTTTTGAATACTTCGAACCCCTTTCCTTCCTCTGACCTTGCCATTGCTTCTTCAAATAACAATTACTTCACTCCTGAAGCGCTTCAGTGGTGGGTTGTCCTGTCTTCTGTTTTTCCATTCATGCACCTTGCATAATTTGCCCAAGTCAACCTTAGGAAGCTGCCACTTTTTAACCTGTCCTCTAGAAACTTCACTCTCCATTGTCTGAGGATTAGTCTGTCTTTTAAGGCACCCCGTATTCTGACCTTGTCCTACCGTATATGTTTAAAATACATGCACTTTGCCTTGGTTCCTGCTCTCAGCATATCCTATCCGTCTTTAACACCTTGTTCAAGTTCTAATTTCTTCATTTATTTAGTCAACAGACACGTTCGAATGTGTTACCATGTGTCAAGCACCATTGGAAGACCTAAAGATTCATAATGGAGTAAGACAGGCAAAGCCTCTGTTGTCAGGGGACTTACATTCTAGTGGCAGAGTCAGACCTCCCCTTTCCACAAAGCACCCCCATAATCCCCACTGAGTACGGCCTCATCCAAAGTCTGAACACTTTGTCAGTATGGTCCTGATTCTCCCCAAATTGATGCATACACGTGTCACCCTTCCAAGAGATGACCTTGGGAGCTCTGGCACACCGATGCTTGTAGGACTTAATTCAGTACATGGGTAGCCCTTTTCTTTAGGAACATTCCCCCAGAGCCTATAGTATATTCACTTAAATATCATCGGCTATGGCAGATTTCATCCTTTGAGGATGCATTGTATTTTTAAAAACCGCTTCAAGTCTCCTAGCCTGGTAAATTAGCTAAGTGAGAATGTGTGACAGAAGGAAAGAGACTAGTTTTCTGATACAGCCCAAAAATGGGCTCTTGAAGTGCTACCCAGAGACAAATCCAGAGACATCATGAACAAGTGACAGTGGCACTCAAGTAAGGACCCATTCTACCCTGACGGATGGCACTCGTTTGAAAAGACTGGTTCTGGGGATTTTGCCTGAAGATGTTCAGTTATTTTAAAGATTTTATTTATTTATTTGACAGAGAGACAGTGAGAGAGGGAACATAAGCAGGGGGAGTGGGAGAGGGAGAAGCAGGCTTCCCACTGGGCAGAGAGCCTGATGCTGGTCTCGATCCCAGGACCCCAGGATCACGACCCAAGCTGAAGGCAGCTGCTTAACAACTGAGCCACCCAAGCGCCCCATAATTTCAGTATTTATAGTCCTACCTAGTGGCTTTTACTGTCTTATGAATTCTCAGCTTTTATTTTTTTCCTGTTTTTAGTATTCTCCCAATTAAATAAGTCCCTTAGGAGTAAGAAGCTTTGTTCTGTTCTTTTTTCTTTATTACCCACAATACCATCTTTGCATATAATTAGGTGATCAATAATAATATGCCAATTATTTGATGAGGCAGTAATAAAGACAGTAAAGCATTAGTTGATACTGTTAGAGTCAGCAGACACCGTAGCAGTATCCTGGCTGTTCATTGGCATTAATTGACTTTACTTGTACACTTTGAGCTTTATGTAAGTCTACCTTGTGTTGATTTTGCAAATCAAATTGGCATTTAAGGGGTAATACCTAAATGTTTGTATTTGTATGAGCTCATTTCTTCCCTCAACAAAGAATGGCAAGAGGTTCTCATTAAGCGAGATCCTCTTTCTGCTTGGTAAGGCAGAAGTTGATATTAATATGAATTAATCATTTGTCTTTGAGTTGTTTGCTTGCAACTCTAATAGAGATTTATCGTGTTACGATATTAGAAGACTTGGGATTTGGAGTACGATATCCTGTGTTAGTTAACAAAGTTCAAGTGAAAACATTAACCCTTTTTTACATTTTTTTTCCAGAACCTTTGTTTCATTTTGCCACAATTTTTGTACCAGTTCTTCTGTGGATTCTCACAACAGGTTTGTTTCCCTAATTATTTGTTATAATTTACTTTACATTGGCTATTAATAAATTACCTTTTTAATGTATTGGATTGTAGAGATGAGAGAGGTATGTTCAAAGTAAAAGGATTTTTTTTTTTTTTTAATTTTTTGGTTCAACCGTTGATCCTCTTGCCCTGGTTTTTGACAGTAGCAAATGTTTATGTTTCTGTTTGGGTGATGTTCTTATTATTACTTTCTTCTTAAAAGCTATTTGGTACCTCCTGTTGGAGTTGAGATAACCTTCAGAGTATTTCTTTTAATCAGTGTAAACCATGTTTTTCATTAATCCTAATATGGTATATTTTAATATTTCATCGAATAAAATCACACCTTTGCAGTTTCTCAGGTTGATTTTCTAGAAAAATGTTGCTTTCTCAAGAGGCCAAGAAGCTCTGATCCCTGGATAGATCCTCGGATTATTTGAGCAACTCTGCATTTCTTGTCTTATGGTTTTATGGTTTATTACATAAAGAACAGGCTATGTGTTATTTTGATACACAAGTGGTAGGACAGACATGCACATTTACAGCTTTAACAACTAAAGTGTACCTTGTGTCGCTTCTAGTGGAAGTACAGCCCAATACAGGAGCGGGAATGCTCAATGACAGAGAAATTTTGTAGTTAATCTGTGAGCAGTTCAGTGATTGTGCCGTGCTGAGCTATTGATAACATCAGCACAGATATTAAAGACCAAGTTTCTAAATTTCAAGGCACGCTTCATTCCTCCTGCAAGGAAGCGATTTTTTCCCCTCATTTCTTGGTGGTATTTTTTAAGACCGTGTGTTTTTCTGAATGGGAAGTGAGTGCTCTCTTTCCCTAGAACTTGCCTCTTCCTCTGGCTGTGCTCTCTCTTACGACAGTGCTGTGTCGTCGAGCGCGCGGTGCCACTTCCGCAGGTTGCTTTACGGGTGAATCATCCACCAGCTGTAGGAAGTGCCGTCAGCTTCTTGAATGCAAAACTAACAGTCTCAGTTGCAGAGAGTTTTCTGAATTATGTCGAATCTGCTTTGTGTGAACATTCAGATTACAGCTGGTCAAATGCTTCAAATTCCTCACTTCCGTGGACGAGTGCAAGTGTTAAAAAGACATTTCAGGGGCGCCTGGGTGGCTCAGTCGGTGAAGCATCTGCCCTTGTCTCAGGTCATGATCCCAGGGTCCTGGGACCGAGCCCCATATCGGGCTCCCTGCTCAGTGGGAAGTCTGTTTCTCCCTCTCCCGCTACCCCTGCTTATACTTTTTCTCTCTCTCTCCTTCTCTGTTTCTCTCTCTCTGTGTCAAATAAATAAAATCTTAGAAAGTGCTAAAGGGAAGTTGGCTTAATCTGGTTAAAATGTTTTTAATTTGAAAGGAATGTGTCTATAAGTTGTATGAAGAAAGGACTTACTCCTTCTAAAGCCAGCTGAGACTCAGACCCTAGTCTGTCTGGGGTCTGCTTAGGTTACATTAGGTTACCTTAGCTGTTGGGTTTCCGTACGAGTTGGTCTTTGGCTTCCTCAGTTGCTCAGATGGTGGGCTCATTCATTTAATGACTATCTCTTGAGTGCCTACTGTATGCCAGGCTAAGTGCCGGGGGTATAACCGTGATCAAAACAAAGTCTTACCCCACGGAGCTTGCCATATAGTGTTGGGGGACAGAGAGCAATCATATGAACGTCGGCTACTGATACAAGCTCTGAAGGAAGAAGTGAACCATTATCGACTGGTAGAGTATGAATGAAGAAGTCTGCTATTTTAGAGAATCTGGAAAGTTCTCTCTGACTTTGAGCAGAGATCTAAAGCAAAGGAGAGGGGGAGCTGTCAGACATCTTAGAGAAAAAGTATATTGGGTAAAAAGAAGGTCTCTCTGAGGTGGTGGCTTGATGTACAATATCATTATTTTTACTTTGGCCTTGTGCTAGTGCTAGATGTAGCGACCATTATTGCAAATATGTTTAGAGTACATAAGGTAGTCAGCCTTTTTCAGCTCAAGTCCACATCACGTGTTCTCTCCAACCCTGGAAACTGGAGGGCAAGCTATAGAGAATGTAGAAATGGAACCAGAATTCAGATTGTTTAAGCAAAAAGCAACTCTTTCTTTAGCAAAGCTAGGAGAGTACTGGTCTTTTTCCTATGTGAAAAGAAAACATTTGTAGCAGGTTTAATAAGAAACTATTATCAACTAAACCTGTTGTTTATTTTGAGGACATTCTGTCTCCTAATTACGCTTCTAAGAATTACAATTATCTCTCATGTAACATCCAAGTACCATAGCGGAACAAAAATAGATTGATCCTTCTTTTGTTTGACTGAAATTCAGGACTAAATTACTCACCAGGCAATCTTTGCATTTGTTTGTTGTTTTCAATCTTCAATCACCAAGCTTTAGTGAAAGTGGAGTAGTTTCCAATGAAAATATGGTATTGTGTGCCAACAAACCGATCATCTCCCTTGAAAAGTAAAAAGAACAAAACACCTGTTTAGGGCTTCTTTTCAATTGTGGATAATTTTTGCTGAGTTTTAATCTTTGTGAAGGAGTTAGGCTGATGGAGAAGTAGGGGGACCAAAGCATGTCTTGTCCCTTGAACACAGCTACGTAGTTATCAAATCATTCTGAACACCTAGGAAGTCAGTCAGAGGTCTGACAGAACAGAAACTGCAAGTCTTCAAAGCAACCGACTTTTGGAAGGTTGTGAAGAGAGTTGAATTTGGGGAGACAGCGCTGTGGTTACAGTGGTGGGGAGAGAGCCTGTTTACGGAGGCTGCCGCAGATTATCATGAGCAGTGGAGTGCAAAAATCGGAACTTTTAGAAGTCTGCTACAGTGGGAGATGTGCCCAGCTTAAAGGTGCTCAGGTGGCAAAGCAGGGTGGAATCCTAGAAGTGACACTGTGGTCTGAGGATCTCCTGGGTAACAAGAACAGGTGACACTGTTCCCAGGCATAGGAACATGGGGCACCTGGGGGGCTCAGTCATTAGGCATCTGCCTTCTGGCTCAGGTCATGATCCCAGGGTGCTGGGATCGAACCCCATGTCAGGCTCCCCGCTCAGCAGGAAATCTGCTTTTCTCTCTCCCCCCCCCCCCCCCTTGTTTTCCTTCTCTCCCTTAGTCTCTCTCTGTCAAATAAATAAAATGTAAAGGGAAAAAAAAGGAACATGGAAGACAGTTGAGAACAGTGAGTCTTGGTGCCGGCTTTCTGCTCTGTTTTGCCATAAACTATGAACCCCTGCATGGTCATGACCACTCTCCTGGCAGGGGCTGGCAAACGAGCAAAAGTGTGGCAAGACCCTCCCCCAGAACAGTGCTTGTCTGTGCTGTGGTAGTCCTTAAAATTCAGAGTTTTGAAACGCAGTCATGTAGCTGAGATTAAAGATTAAAAAGCTCGGACACAGACCAGTTGAACGCAGGGTTCTGACAGAATTCAGGGAGTGATTGACTGTTCTTTGAGGGCTCACTGAGGAGTGGGGTGGGGGACTTCCAGTTCTGGAGTTAGAGAGTGGGGCACCACCATATTCATCCCACCCATCAGTGCTGATAGCCTTCCGGGGGGGCAAAACAGCACCACCTAGTGGATTCTGGAGCTGCTTACACCAAGCCCCACCCCCCTAAGCCCCAGAGGTGCATTGCACGTCCACCAGAGAATCATCCCACAGACTGCGCCCCCAGAAGACCAGCGCAAACAATGTGCTCACACCAAGTTTACTGGTCCTAGAGTGCTGCAAGCTTCAGTTCTAGGGGAAAATGGGATCTAGCTTGCTTTTTACTTTTACTACTTTTTTATTTTTTCATTTATTGTCTATTTTTTCAATTCATTTTGTAAAACTTTTGATTAATTTAAAATTTGTATTTATATATACTTTATGTTTTTGTATTTGTTTACTTTAATTATTTATTTATTGAATTTTGGGATCTAGGTTCTTTTAACAAGCAGACCAAAACACACCCAGGCTCTAGGTTTGGGTGGGGGGAATTTTTTGTTTTGGGGGGTTTTCCTTTTTGTTGTTGTTTTTTGTTTTCTTCTTTTCTGGACAAGATGATGAGATGGAGAAATTTACCCCAAAAGAAAGAATGGAAAGTGGAACTCAGGGCTAGGGATTTAATCAAGACAGATATAAATAAGATGTCTGAACTAGAATCTTAAGAAACGATTATAAAATACTAGCTGGGCTTTAAAAAAAGCATAGAAGAAACTAGAGAATCCCTTACTGTGGAGATAAAAGTACTTAAATCTAGTCAGGCTGAAATTTAAAAATGCTATAACTGAGATGCAATCCCAATTGGAGGCCATAAGAATGGGGATGGATGAAGCAGAGGAGCAAATCAGCGATAAAGAATATAAAATTATTAAAAATAATGAAGCTGAAAAGAAGAGGGAAAGAAAGGTAATGAACCACAAAGATAGGCTTAGGGAACTAAGTGACTTATTAAAACATAATATTCATATCATAGGAGTCCCAGAAGATGAAGAGAGAGAAAAAGGGGTAGAAGGTTTATTCGAGTAAATTATAGCTGAAAACTTCCCTAATTTGGGGAAGGACACAGGCATCAAAATCCACGACGCACAGAGAACTCCCATTAAATTCAACAAAAGCTGACCATTGCCAAGACATGTCGCAGTCAAATTCACAAAACAGACAAGGAAAGAATCCTGAAAGCAGCAAGGGTAGGGGGTCCTCCCATAAGGGAAGACAGATGAGGTTCACAGCAGATCTGTTCACAGAAACTTGACAGGCCAGAAAGGAGTGGCAGGATATATGCTACATGCTGAATGGGAAAAATATGCAGCCAAGAATTCTTTATCCAGCAAGCCTGTCATTCAGAATAGAAGGAGAAATTATTTCCCAGACAAACAAAAACTAAAGGAGTTTGTGACCACTAAATCAGCCCTGCAAGAAATTTTAAGAGTGATTCATTGAGTGGAAGAAAAAAATAGAAGACCAAAATCATCAAAGACTAGAAAGGAGCAGAGAACATCACCAGAAGCACCACCTCCACAGCTAACACAATGGCACTGAACTGATCTCTTTGAAGGTAAATGGACTAAATGATACAATCAGAAGACAGGGTATCGGAATGGATAAAGAGATCCATCTATGTGCTGCCTACCAGAGACTCATTTTAGATCTAAAGATACCCACAGATTGAAAGCGAAGGGATGGGGGCATCTAGGTGGCTCAGTTGGTTAAGCGTCCTGATTTCAGCCCAGGTCATGATTTCAGGGTCATGAGATCAAGACCCATGTCGAGCTCCACACTGGGCATGGAGCCAGCTTAAGATTTTCTCAAAAAAAAAAAAAAAAGAAGAAGAAGAAGAAGAGAAAAGATTCTCCCTATCCTTAAGCCCCAACCCGCCTCCCCCATTTGCACACACTCTCTCAAAAAAAGGGGGGCCAAGTGGGGGGATGGAGAACCATCTGTCATGCTAATGGATGTCAAAAGAAAGCCGGAATAGCCATACTATATCAGATAAACTAGATTTTTTTTAAAGATTTTAGTTATTTATCTTAGCAAATGAGAGAGCGTGGCAGGGAGGGGCAGAGGAAAGAGAGTCCCAAGTGGACTCTGTGCTGATCACTGAGCCCAACGCAGGGCTCAGTCTCACGACCCTGAGATCATGGCCCAAGCCGAAACCAAGAGTCGGACACTTAACCAACTGCACCACCCAGGTGCCCCAGACAAACTAGATTTTATTTTTTTATTTTATTTTATTTTTTACAAACTAGATTTTAAAACAAAGACTGTAACAAGAGATGGAAAAGGGCATTATATCAGAATTAAAGGGTCTATCCATCAAGAAGATCTAACAATTGTAAATATGCCCCCAACTTGGGAACACCCAGATATATTAAATCAATTAATAACAAACATAAAGAAACTCACTGCCAGTAATAATAGTAGAGGACTTAAACACCCAACTCAGAGCAATGGACAGATCAGCTAAGCAGAAGATCAACAAGGAAGCAATGGCTTTGAATGGCATCCCCGACCAGGTGGGCTTAACAGATACGCAGAACATTTTATCCTAAAGCAGCAGAATACACAGCCTTTTCCAGCACACATGGAACATTCTCCAGAATAAATCACATACTGGGTCACAAAACAGGCCTCAGAAAGTACAAAAAGATTGAGATCATACCGTGCATATTTTCAGACCACAATGCTATGAAACTTGAAGTTAACCACAAGAAAATATTTGGAAGGACCACAAATACATGGAGGTTAAAGAACATCCCATTAAAGAATGAATGGGTCAACCAGTAAATTTAAAAAGAAATTTAAAAAAATACAGGGAAGCAAAACCTTTGGGATGCAGCAAAGGCCATCATTAACAGGGAGGTATATTGCCATACAGGCCCACCTCAAGAAGCAGGGAAAGTCTCAAATACACAACCTAACTGTATACCTAAAGGAGCTGGAAAAAGAACAGCAAATAAAGCCTGAAGTTAGCATAAGGAGGGAAATAATAAAAATTATACCAGAAATAAATGATACAGAAGCAAACAAGCAAACAAGTAAAAAACCAGAACAGATTAATGAAACTAACAGGAACAGTGGAGCCTCTCGGGAAGAGAGTATTAGAAAAACCTTGGATCTGGGCTTGGGACACCTGACTGGCCACATCAGTAGAATATGCAACGCTTAATCTCGAGGTTATGAGTTCGGACCCCGTGTTGAGTGTAGAGAATACTTAAAAATAAAATCCTTTAAAAAAAAAAAAAGATTTGGGGCACCTGGGTGGCTAAGTCAGGAGTGCACCCGACATGTTGGAGGTCCAGTGAGGAAGGCATTGCTGCTGGATTGCAGTGAGCAAGGACCAGGAGAGATCTAAGAGATTAGACCAGACAGAAGAAGCCAGATGGAGTGGAACTGGATAGCCACTCCTTTGTAGGAATGTTTTTTTCTTTTTCTTTTTTTTTTAAGATTTTTATTTATTTATTTGACAGACAGAGATCACAAGTAGGCAGAGAAACAGGCAGAGAGATAGGAGGAAGCAGGCTCCCTGCTGAGCAGAGAGCCCAACGCGGGGCTCGATCCCAGGACCCTGGGATCATGACCTGAGCCGAAGGCAGAGGCCTTAACCCACTGAGCCACCCAGGCGCCCCGGAATGTTTTTTTCTTTTAACTTTCAGAGATAAAGGAATCCCCTGCAAAGTCTGAACAAAACAGTGACTTGATTTCACTTCCTTTCTGACAGAACTACTCGGGCCATTGTGTGGACTGTAGATCAAGGGGAGAAGGAGGGAGCCATTTAGGAAGTTTTCAGGGTGGTGACTGGAGGTGCTGAGAAGTGATCTGGTCTGAGAGGTGATCTGGTTTGAGAAGTGATCTGGTCTGGTCTGAGAAGTGATCTGGTCTGTTCTGAGAAGTGATCTGGTCTGGGAATCACTTACTGTGATTTCCTGAGCACCCAGGTGGTTCCAGGCACCAAAATAGATCCTGGGGTTGCAACGGTGTGGGGGCTCTTCACGGAGGTAGAGAACATGGGATAAAGCAGATTTAGGGGAAAGTTAATGAGTTTGGTTTTAGACATTTTGAGTCGTGGATGCCTGTGGGACAGCCCGCAGAAAGGTGGAAATTTTGGTCAGGAGCCTAGGGAAGTCATGCCTGTGTACATATTTTTAGCTTTGTTTGTGCAAAGACATTTATTTAGTCCTTAGTAAATGGCCACATTCAAGATCATGAATAGAACCTTGAGAAGGTGATAGTGATACTTAAAACTATGTAAAATATTAACAACAACAAAGCCACTATGACACAGGCAGGCCACTGCCTCCGTGTAGTGTTCCCGGAGGGTTCCAGGCTTACATTTAATTGGTCTTTGTTCATCGAAAAGTCTTTTGAAAATCCGTTAGTATTTGTTGGAAATAACGTGTACATTCTGAATAAAATTATTTGGAAAGGGAGGCTATATTAATACGATACATCACAATATGTTAATTTTTGTAGTTACCAGTGAGAGTGACCTCATTTATAGACTTCTTTCGCTATGACAACAAATGTGAAAGGGAACGGTCTTGTTTCAGCTTGTGATTTTTCCAAACACAAAATTTTTTCTTCTGTTGTTTGTCTTTTCAGCCACTGTATGATGCCGCTTACCTTACGATGTACAACATCTGCTTTACATCCTTGCCCATCCTGGCCTACAGTTTACTGGAACAGCACATCAACATTGACACTCTGACCTCAGATCCCCGATTGTATATGTAAGTAGCACATGTGGTTAAAAACCATTTCAGACTTTCCAAATCCTGGGTTTCATTTCATCCATGGGTAGGAAGGATACAGTTGCCCAGCTGATTTGATTACATGGTTCTGTTCTGAATTTTTAGCTACTTAAACCATACCATTCAATAGGGAAATGGTATATGTCCTAGATGTAGGACCTGTCCATGAATGTGTGTGAACCATCTAGTTCAAAATCACTAATTCCTAAAACGAGAATCTACATTGGCATAGAGTTCTCAAGTCTCATAGGAAGATACACTATTTTTTTAAAGGTCTTATTTATTTATTCATGAGAGACAGAGAGAGGCAGAGGGAGATGCAGGCTCCCTGCTGAGCAGGGAGCCCCGATGTGAGACTCGATCCCAGGACCCCGGTACCATGACCTGAGCCTAAGGCAGACATTGAACCATCTGAGCCCCCCAGGTGCCCGGAAGACACACTATTTTAACTACCCCCCCAAAAAAAAGGCCACTCACAAAGATTTATAGTGTTGATTCCTACCTATAATGGGTTGAACTGATATTATGTTAGACTTTCTCTTTTTTTTGTTTTTAAAATTTTTATTTTTTTTAATTTTTTATTAACATATAATGTATTATTAGCCCCAGGGGTACAGGCCTGTGACTCACCAGCTTTACACACTTCACAGCACTCACCATAGCACATACCTTCCCCAGTGTCCATAACCCAACCACCCTCTCCTTACCCTCCTCCCCCCGGCAATCCTCAGTTTGTTTTGTGAGATTAAGAGTCTCTTATGATTTTAGACTTTCTCTTTTTTTAAGATTTTATTTATTTTAGAGAGTATGTGCACACAAGTGAGTGAGGGCAGGGGCAGAGGGAGAGAATCCATCCGAAGCAGACTCAGTGAGCACGGAGCCCAATTTGGGGCTTGATCTCATGACCCCAAGATCACGACCTGAGCCGAAAACCAAAAGTTCGTTGCTTAATCAACTGAGCCACCCAGGTGCTCTGAGACTTCAGCTGCCCCAGAAGCATAGCCTCCTCTACTTTGTCAGTGCTGTTTTAGAGCTGCATTGCTGGGGCTCCTGGGTGGCTTAGTCGTTAAGTGTCTGCCTTCGGCTCAGGTCACGATCCCATCTCCCTGCTCAGTGGGGGAGCCTGCTTCTCCCTCTCCAGCACCCCCTGCTTGTGTTCTCTTTCTCTCTCTCTCTTGCTGTATCTCTCTGTCAAATAAACAAATAAAATCTTTTTTAAAAAATAAATAAATAAAACTCTATTGCTGAAGAAAATAATTAACTCTTCAAGCCCTTATATCCATTTTGTGTCAGTTGTAAATGGATGCTTTTGTCTAGGATGGGGTACTTGGCCAGTTGCTTAACGTTTGATTTAATTGGGTTTTTATAAGTTAAGCCTGCTCCTAAGGATGAACATGGTAATTTATAGCAGATGATAAGCATTGCCTAATAGTGGATAGCAAATGCAGTAGAGACTCGGGTGGTTTATTTGTATGAAGTGAAGGTATACAAATTTAAGAGTTTTCTTTAACCAGTGTAACTCATAAAACCTATATTTAGTCATTGTTAGGCTTAACCGGCTTTATAAAATTTGTCATTATTTTAAAGATGGAAAGATTGAAAATTTCAAACATGCACAGGAGTAGCAAAAATAGTATTAATAGAGTGAACTTCCCTATCCTCACTACTCAGCAAAAAATGATCAGTTCAGGGTCTGTCCTAGTTCATGAATAATCCTGTTTGCTCTATTACAGACTTCTTTTTTAATAAATACAAACATTATATAAAATAGTTATTTCAGTAAGTATCTCTTAAAGATAATGAGCTAAAAAAAGAACAGTACTTTATCGTACCTAAAACTTCAACAAGCCCGTAATATCATACATCCAGTCAGGTTCAGATTCCTCCAGTTGACTCGTTTCTTTTTTTTTTTTTCCTTTAAGATTTTTTTCTTTATTCATTTGGGAGAGAGAGAGAGCATGAGTGGTGGGGAGTAGCAAAGGGAGAGGGAGAAGCAAGCTCCCTGCTGAGCAGGGAGCCCAATGTGGGACTTGATCTCAGGACCCAGAGATCATGACCTGAGCTGAAGGCAGGCACCCAACCGACTGAGCCACCCAGATGCCCCCAAGTTGACTCATCTCTTTTTATAACATGCTTGTTTGCATCAGAATGTAAGGTCCATATGTTGTACTTAGTTAATACGCCTCTTGAGTCTGTTTTAACCTGTAGGTTAACCTGGCGGGTTTTTTGTTGACAAAACTGGGTCATTCATCTTGCAGTGTTTACGCCAACCTGGAGTTTGCCGATTGCACTCTTCTGGCATTAGCATGTTCTGCTTTTCCCCGCATTTGTGGCAAGGGGATAGTTAGATCTGGAGGCGAATCACAGAAGCCATGGGAGAAATCTCACAGCACATCAGCTCCCATGTTCTCTTTTTTTTTTTTTTTTAATGAGGAACCAGGGCCCAGAAATGACTGACGTAAGTACACATGGTGTAACTAGAGGCCAGATCAAGATCGGAATTGAGTTCCCCTGATGACTAGCCCCATGTGCTTTAGCTGCCTGGTGGTTTTGAAACCCGGAGCAGCAGTGTTTGTCTCCAGACATTGTCACAGGTGTCGGTTTCACCCTCAGTAAAACACGGATAACAGTAGCTGCCGATCCTGCTCTTCCTGTGAGGATTAAATGACTGTCTACATGTAAAACAATTTAAAACAGTCCCTAGCCTAGAGTCTTCGGTTCGATAGGCGCTATTCTTACTCTGACGCCCTCCTCCACATAACTTCAGGGCTGGGCTGAGGGCTTTCATACATCGAGACTGTTGAAAACCTGAAGAAAGCTGTGGAGTACCAATCATCTTAAGGTGTCCGTGAAGTCTGAGTTAGCGAACCATGGGTGTAGGCCACAGATGATTCAGTGACTTTTCTGGAGAGGGTATACTTGCTCTGCCTTGGAGACACAGATCTCAGCTATGATTATTCTTCTGGAAACATGAAGCCCTAGTCATCCTTTGTGGCCCTCTCTGTGGCCGTAGCGCTCAGTATGACGGCTGGCATCGTGTGGCGTACTACGGATTTCACCTGAAGGGACGTAGTGACTCAGGCACTTCCCAAATACTGAAACGATCTATTTGGATATTTTCTTGCTTTTAAGAGAAATTTAAATAGTAAACCGTCGTTCCTCTATAGAGGGAAGAGGCATAGTCTGTTTCTGCTACAGCTTTAAAAGGCGAAAGAAAGGCTCCCATACACCTGCCACCTCCCATCTTAGGGAGGCGCACAGGCCTGTGTGGCAGGGTGACTGCCCCCAAGTCTTCCTTTTCTCTCGTGTTCTCCTTTGTGGAGACTCTCATACTCTGAGTTTCCAACAGCTTTGTCATTCGTTTGAGTGCAGCTAGGAAGCCTCGCATATCACCCAACATACCATGACCCTTCTTCCCATGGGTGGAAGGTAGCTCCCAGAGACAGTCTAGAAAGACAGGATCCATGCCTGCCTCAGCCCAAATTCAGTGACTCACAAAAGCCTTATGGGCCAGTGGCTGCTGGGCTCTCACTGCAACAATCTTCGGGAAGGGGTGCCTGGGTGGCTCAGTGGGTTAAAGCCTCTGCCTTCGGCTCAGGTCATGATCTCAGGGTCCTGGGATCAAGCCCCACATCGGGCTCTCTGCTCGGCGGGGAGCCTGCTTCCCCCCCTCTCTCTACCTGCTTGTGATCTCTCTCTCCCTCTGTTAAATAAATAAATAAAATCTTTAAAAAAAAAAAAAAAAAAAAAGGAATCTTCGGGAAGGTGCTTTCCCTATGGCTCCCAGCTGTCTCGAGCTGGTGACTTACCGTGTGGGGGAGTGCTTGTTTCTGAGAAGCAGGCACTTCTTTCCTTCTGCAGTTTTTCTAGGGCAAACAGCACGTTGCATTATGCGTTCCCCGAATTTCAAATTCCTTCCTGCTCCTGGAGATCCGAGTAGGTAAAAGTTACATAATGGCCAAGTTTTCAGAAACCCCCACAGTGCTTAATACCAAGTGAACAAGAATCACTTACATTGATGTTATAAAGGTGTTTCTTATACAGTCAAGCCAAGAGACAGACGTCCTGTATAGTATTGGCAATGGTGTGCTGTATGAGTGCTGGGCTACCTTCCCATCAATGTTAAGAGCAACTTGAGGGGCGCCTGGGTGGCTCAGTCAGTTAAGCAATTGACTCTTGATTTCACCTCGGGTCATGATCTCAGGGTGGTGAGATCGATCCCCATATCAGGCTCCTCACTGAGCATGGAACCTGTTTAAGATTCTCTCTCTTGGGGCACCTGGGTGGCTCAGTGGGTTAAGCCTCTGCCTTTGGCTCAGTTCATGATCTCAGGGTCCTGGGATCGAGCCCTGCATCAGGCTCTCTGCTTGGCGGGGAGCCTGCTTCCCCCTCTCTCTCTGCCTGCCTCTCTGCCTACTTGTAATCTCTCTCTCTGTCAAATAAATAAATAAAATCATTTAAAAAAAAAAAAGATTCTCTCTCTCTCCCTCTTCCCCCCCGCCACACTCTTTCTTAAAAAAAAAGAGCAATTTGAAATAGAAGCCCAAAGAACTCCTAGCACAAACCCATCTTCTTTCTGCAGCTCTGCTCCATTCGAATGAGTCGCTATATTTAACACTCTGACTTGTGCTGAGAAGATTGTGTTATTTTCACAGATTTTGAAGTTTGGACCCACCTACCGTTTATGAAAACATGACTATCCAGCTTGAAACATTATTTGACCCAATTGAAAAATTATAAAGGGTACCCTGAGACCTAAAAAAAGGTTATATTCCCAAGAAGAAATCTTGATTAAAAGAACTACCTTAGCAATTGTAGTTGGAAAGGCCGTGGTAGGTCGGGTCCATCTATGGTGTGCGCCGGCCCGCCCCCTCACTAACGGATCGAACTCAGGCGTGCTCCTACACTAGTGTTGCAAAGCTTACTGCGTGTGAGAGTCACTGGGGAGCTTCCAGAACAACCCCAGTGCCCCGCTTATACCTCATGCTGGTTAAATCAGAAGGAGGGTGGGAGTCAGGCATCTGTGCTTTTAAAGATCCCCAAGTGATTCCAGTGTGCACCGTAGTCTGGGAACCATTATGATAAGTTTTGGGGGGCTCATTATTTATCAGTGGGACTGACAAAGTCCCACTGTGTGGTTTTTATGTGGGTAGAAATGGACAATATATATAAAACTCTCAGGCCAGCTTACTGACATATAAGAAGTACTCAGTAAGCGGGAGCTGATGGTTTTTGATGATATTATTGTTGTCGGTGGCCAAGATTTTAAACTTAGTGCTTTGACTGTTTACTCAATGCCTTACTTCTGAAGCAATTGCACGGAGACGAACGTGTGGCTGGGGATGGCCCTCCAGTCCTTGGGGACGCCTCACTTCATTATAACAGGGTCACACCTGTGTGCACTTTTGGCATTTCACCGGGTCTTTAAATAGACAGCCTACAGAGATTCATTAACCTGTGGTTTCTTTTTCCATTTCTCAATAGGAAAATTTCTGGCAATGCCATGCTACAGCTGGGACCCTTCTTATACTGGACGTTTCTAGCTGCATTTGAAGGGACAGTGTTCTTCTTTGGGACTTACTTTCTTTTTCAGACTTCATCCCTTGAAGAAAATGCAAAGGTAAAAAAATACGTCATTACATCCTGGTATTGTAAGCATGGCTTGTTCTTTCTCTGTAGGCACTGGATTTATCATACACATAATCTCACTGTAATCATTTTGTAAACTTTTTCTTGAGGTACGGTATTTAGTTCTCAGAACTTTTTTAGAACACTAGAAGTATTGAAGTAAGAAACCACTTCCCGTGTGCATGGCTAACTAGAGAGCTTATGTGTAAGCTTCTAGAAGCTTAGCTCGGCTATAATTTTTAATAGATGAACAGAGTTCTTAGGACTTCAGAATTTAGACCCCTATACTGTTCCTTTTTTTTATTTTAAAGATTTTGTTTATTTATTTGATAGAGATCACAAGTAGGCAGAGAGGCAGGCAGAGAGAGAGGGAAGCAGGCTCCCCGCTGAGCAGAGAGCCTGATGGGCTCGATCCCAGGACCCAGGGATCATGACCTTGAACCCAAGGCAGAGGCTTTAACCCACTGAACCACCCAGGCGCCCCTCCTTTTTTTTTTTTTTTTTTTTTTTTTAAGTAAACTCTACCCTCCAACGTGGGGCTTGAATTGAGTACCCCAAGATCAAGAGTCGCATGGTCTACTGACTGAGCCAGTCAGGCGCCCCAAGACTTTTCCTGTTTTAGAAGTCTGGCCCCACTCACTTCCTATTAATAGTGGCCTTTCGTGCTTGGAGTTGAAGGGCATAGCTACCATATCTTTGCAGTGTTTGCCTGATAGTTAAAGGGATGGAATTCCCTTCTCTTCCTCCTTCCCTTCCACATGGGAGCATAGTGTTTTCCAGAAACACTGCACTCATCCTATCAGTGCCTTTTTAGCAAGCAACTGCCCAAGTCAGCACGTGCGGTGGGATGATGCTCCCCCAGGCTGTGTCCTGGGAGAGCACCGCTGTTGGGGCGAGGTCTTGCCACAGCCACATGGAGAGACTCGAGCCCACCACTTCACCCATGCTTTCACTGCATTCTTTCTTCACTATTTCTGGGCTTCCTGTTTAATACTTACTCGTTCTTTATCATTATAACATGAAGCAAAGCTAAGTTTCAAGAGTGATTTACTGAGTACAATAACTGTCCAGAAGCAACCCAGTCAGCATCTGCTATAGAAGTAATAGGCCCGATGAAGGTGAATTACTTCAGAATTAGGTACTACAGTCCAAAACCTTTCCGATTTGGACTAACACAAGTCAGTTTAATATGAATCCCTTAAAATTATTAATCGCTGGGGATGCCTGGTTGACTCAGTCAGTAGAGCATGTGACTCTTGATCTCAGGTTGTGAGTTCACGCCCCCTCTTGGGCACTGGGCATAGAGGTTACTTTAAAAATCTCAAAGTATTAATCCCCGAGTAACTGTGGAGGAAACACAGCTGTGGTTTAGAGTAGGAGCACATCGCAGCGGACAAGGAGAGGACCCTGTTTAGTCTGCAGGCAGGCCCCTTCGGCCTCCCAAGTCCGCCTTGCCCGTCGGCAAGAAGGGATTAGATTCTGTGATTTCTTGGGTCCCTTTAGCTTTATGGCTGCTCCTGTGACTTTCACGTTTTACTTTATTTTTATTTGGCACCTGAATGATAAAGAACTGACGATTCCTTAACAAGAGTTTGCTGCAGCAAAAATGACAATGAGCGGAAAGACTATCAGTGATGAAATGTAACATCGTGTATGAGTTGATCAAATCCGTCTTTTCGCTTCTGTTAATTTTTTATCATTTTTTTAAGACTTTTTACATTTCATTTTCTGTTTTAATGTTATGCATTCAGATCTTGACAGCATTTGGTAAGCATGTGTGCCATTCATTGCCACAGTTACAGACTTGTACGTGCTCTCTGCTTTTCTCTGATGTGCACATGCTGACAGCTCTAATAGTCGCCGCCAAAAAATTAGACTGTTTTTAAAATGTGAGTCCATTTGTCTACAGATTAGCCCTCATTTGAGAGCTTTAGTTCTTCATTACTGAGGAAGCCCATATCAGACTCTTGAGAGACATGAATCATTCAAATGACTTGTTTTGATGAATGTTACTATTACGGAATCGGGGGGGGTTTTTTGCCTTTATTACACCAATGTGTTGCCTGTTTGCTACTACATGGAGTAATGGAAGTAAACCCTACCAACCGCAAGTGCATTGTAGCTGTCCAAGAAAGTTGAGGGTCACGGTAAATAAAATCCAACATTTTGGCCTGATCTTTTGATCAGCTATTTCACTAAACATTTTACACCCAAATCTTTAGCGGTTACAGCCAAGATTAAATTTGCCTTTTTTATTTTCGTAAGCAGGCTTGTGTATTCATGGTGCATATAATTGTTGACTGTTTTTCAGGTATATGGAAACTGGACTTTTGGAACCATTGTTTTTACAGTCTTAGTATTCACTGTAACTCTGAAGGTTAGATTTTTATTTATTCAAATATATTTAACGCCATTTTTATAATTCTTTCTCTTCTCTTTTTTGTTTTCTCTTTACTTGTATTGCAAGTTGTTATTCAAGTCTGAATACTTACTGAAATATGTATGATACTAGATATTTAGACACGTGTATGCTGTTCATGGTCCATTTCTTTCCAGAATATTGTCTGTCCTCTTTGTTTCCATTTTTAAAAAATTCGTACACTATAGTTATGTTGAAAATCTGTTCCTTTTTTCTTCAAGACAGTATAAGTAGTAGATAAACGGGCTCTGACTGTGTGTGTGTTTCCATGTTAAATACTTCAATAGTTTTTAAGATGATCTGTTTACAAACACCAGGCCTTAAAGGAATGGGAGTACTTAAGACAGTTGAATAGGTATCCATGAGCAAGATATGTGTGCAGAAGAGCTCAGTGGTGATGAAATTTTATATAATGTATTTATCACTGAAACTTACCCATATTAGTGATGAAATGCATAACAACATACAGCAGGTAACATACATGAATCATTGGCCTTAGCACACAGCCATGTAATACACTCTGAAGCCTTGCTGAATTCTACCCTTGAGGCTTACGAGTTGGGACTCTCTTATACTTGAAAGCATAATCAAATTCTTCTGATGATAATTGCAGTAATAAACACCTCATGTGGGATCCAAGAATGAGTAAATGAATTCCACTATGCCCAGTGGTCAAAACTAGAATTCTAGAAGTGTGCTTGACAAAGAACCTCTAATCATTTCCCCCTCTGAAGAAGTGTGCTTGACAAAGAACCTCTAATCATTTCCCCCTCTAAGTTTTTATTCCTGATTCATTTCTCATACCAAATAGAACTAACATATGTTTGCATTTTCATCTACTATTTCGGTAATATTGTAGGGCTGCAAAAGAAAATGTTACCATTCGTCTCCATTTAGCCACTTACTAGCTGCTATTTTGGGGCAAGTGACTTCGTTTCTCAGTACCCTCGTTTCTTCTTCTATGATGTGGAGATAAAAGTAGTACCTTCCTCTCTTAGATTTTTGGTGGGAAGTCAATTAGTGAATACACATAAAGCATTCAGTGTGGTGTCTGGCACATAGAATGTGATCAGAACAACAGGCTCATGATTTGAAACAGAAGCCTCCCCGCCTTTGTTTCTCCTGGTTTTGCATATGGCCCTAGGGCTCCCAAGTGGCCTTCGTACTTAAAGTTGGCCTTACTGTAGCATCTTTCCTTGTCCCTCAAAACACATTCACTCTCTCATCTTTGGATGGGTATTATCGTGACCTTCTCCCTAGCAGCACAGAGGTGGGAATTCAAGCCTGGTCTACATTAACAATGTTCTCAACATTCTGTTTATGAACGAAAAAGTTAGAACAGGGGAGTCAAGGACCAGGGTGTCAGAGCAAGCAAAAAAAAAAAAAAAAAAATGGAGACACCGCCTCCTCTTCAAAAATGAAATGCCCGTGGCCCCGAAATTTTAAACAAGCAGAACGGACCATACTTTTTATTTTTAGACTGCATTTAAAAAATCCCAGGTACCACAATCTAAAGAAACAATCAGCCCCGGCAGAAACACGGGGGGATTAAAATCTAAGGCAACTGAGAATGTTATTCATTTAATAGATTAGATAAGGGCTTTGCAGTTGAAGGACAGACGACATAGCCAGGCCCATGATTCGTTGCTGCATGGTGCCAGGCGTGTGGAGCCTGTTGCCTTTGCATTTAATAATCCCCATCTGTTGTGTTTGAGCTGTCGACACACTCGACACTCCTTTGTGTAGTTCGTCTATTCTTCCCAACTAACCCTTCCCTCTCCTACTGCTTTTCAGTATACCTGCCTCCACCAGCTAGGCCTTGTCCTTTGATCATCTGCTTTCCGGCCACTGCCGCCCGAGGACTTGGGGCTCCAGGCCGAGCCTGTTACAGTACCTGGATGCCTGCCCTTCCTTCAGCAGTGAGGCAGCGCAGCCGCACACCTACCAGCTGCTTGCTTGACCAGACCTCCAAGCCTGTCCTTTTGGGTCTACAGGCCTTGGGGCAGAACCTAGCTCCTTCTTACCCTAGCCCTTTGAAAAGTCTCAATTCTGTTCTTCTTTTAGTTTCCCTCTCTTCTAGTTGCCTGGCCCAAGTGAGGTCTCCCATAGGTACCATACTGTATGCAGTTCTCAGTAGCATAGTGTGTTTACTCCTGGTGTAGCTGGTACCCATCATGAAATCTCCTGTGTTGTATCTTTTCAGCTCGCCTTGGATACTCGTTTCTGGACATGGATAAATCACTTTGTGATTTGGGGCTCTTTAGCCTTCTATGTATTTTTCTCATTCTTCTGGGGAGGAATTATTTGGTAAGCAGCTGTACATGTGTGAGTAGTATGTGAAATAACAAAGTAGATGTCCGTATGTGTACATTGTCTATGCAAACATTCATTCAACTTTTAAAGCGTTAATTGTACAAGATGGCAGGTCTTCAGTATTAATGGGCTGGAAGTTAATTTCAGGTAAGATTTCAAATGCAAGTATATCGAATTACACGAGTTATTCAAAAGCCCTCCTTTCTGGTAGCCCCTGTCCAGATCTTTCCACTTGAAGGTATGTGAACCTCTGTCTGTACAGTGCTAGCATGCCCTTCCATGGGGTTTCCAGTGGAAATATCCTCTGAAGTTTCTAGAGGAGACAATGGCGATAGATACACTATTAGCCATTTGGATTCCATTCTCTCTTCATGGTATATCACTGTCAATCTCGTCGCTATATTTGTGCTCAAGGTTAAGAATATCTACTACTTAATATTCAGAGGCTTATATCTTAAAATCCCATCTTATTGTTTTGGGTGGGAGTAAAGGCAGACACTGCAGTGTGGCCTTAAAGTTGATTGAGCTCATCTTTGTTCAGATGTTTATCCAGAATCTGCCGTGTATGAGGCACTCTGGGAAACCAAGGTAATAATAGACAGTGAATAGACTGTACCCCTCCCTCCAGGAGATTTGGATACAGGGCAAGAGACACAGAGCTGTGATTGGGAGAGTTATAAGGAATGAGAATAGGTTAGGTGGTCATCTCCTCTTATTCCCAGACGCCTGTATTTGGGGTTTTGTTTGTTTGTTTGTTTTTTAAAGATTTTATTTATTTATTTGACAGACAGAGATCACAAGTAGGCGGAGAGGCAGGCAGAGAGAGAGTGAGAGGAGGAAGCAGGCTCCCTGCTAAGCAGAGATCCTGTTGTGGGGCTCGATCCCAGGACCCTGGGATCATGACCTGAGCCGAAGGCAGAGGCCTTAACCCACTGAGCCACCCAGGTGCCCCCGCCTATATTTTGTTTTTAAAGATCATAGGTGTTTTCGTGAATCAGTGGCTTCTCCTGACAAGGAAGCCAGCAGCAGAGAGCATGGCTAGGGGAAGCCATAGGGTGAGATTCTGGGAGTGTTATTTTCTCACTGGTTTGAGCAACACACGTACAAAACATTCCATGTTATCCGTGTTTGTTGTCCCCTGAGACCTAATTAGAAAAAATGCTTACTGTTTTGAAAAGCTTTTAAAGTAAGCCTTCAGAAATAAAAATATGATGGGACGCCTGGGTGGCTCAGCTGGTTGGACGACTGCCTTTGGCTCAGGTCATGATCCCGGAATCCTGGGATCGAGTCCCGCATCGGGCTCCCAGCTCCACGGGGAGTCTGCTTCTCTCTCTGACCTTCTCCTTGCTCATGCTCTCTCTCACTGTCTCTGTCTCAAATAAATAAATAAAAATCTTAAAAAAAAAGAAATAAAAATATGAAATGCCTCATCACTTAAGCAGTTCCAGAAAGTGTAATCACACATATATTGGGCACCTACAGAGGTAATTACTGAAGCAGTGAGGCTGACAGAAGTCTCTGTTTTCTTTAATAATATGCAAGTTAATCAAAGTTGATTAACCAAATGTCATATATAGTTGTAACTCTGCCCAGAGCACCATAGTTCTGTCTATAAATCTGTGTAATCAGCATCTGAACTCCTGCAAAATTTCCACAAGAATGTTTCTAGCAGACTAGTTTCTCTTACCACAGACTATTCCTTATTGATTAAAATAAATGCTTCAGGGCACCTGGGTGGCTCAGTGGGTTAAGCCGCTGCCTTCGGCTCAGGTCATGATCTCAGGGTCCTGGGATCGAGTCCCGCATCGGGCTCTCTGCTCAGCGGGGAGCCTGCTTCCCTCTCTCTCTCTCTCTCTCTCTCTCTCTCTGCCTGCCTCTCTGTGTACTTGTGATCTCTCTCTGTCAAATAAATAAATAAAATCTTTAAAAAAAATAAATAAAATGCTTCAAATGATTAGGACATTGTCATACCTGTTTCTAGTCATTAGCGATACTTACTAAAAATGAAATACATCTATTTTTATTTTGTTGCCTGTAGTGCTATCCTCAAGTAGAGCTGAGTTGAACTACTACGTGAATATGAAATTACAGAGCAGCCACCAAAATATGACCAGAAACGGTCTGAGACTTCAGCCGAATGCTGGTTTCAGCTAATATCTCTGGACACATTGAGCCCTGAGGCATTGCGACACACGGCTCTGGGGTTCAGCCGTGAGAATGATAATTTCTGAGCTCCAAACCCAATCCAAGAACACTATCTTGTGTTTTTTCCTCTTCCCCTGTAAAGCACCGTAGGTGTCAGTATATGGAAAAATTGAGAGCTACAGGGCAGGGAAAACAAACAAAACAAAAAAAAAAAAAAAGGAAAAGAAAAATCTAGAGCTGTTAATCACAGAGTATTGTGAGACTTTGTGGAGTAGGACTATTTGTTAGTTGTCTACTGAACCCTTATTATGGTCAGTTAACAGCCTAGAAAATAAGTCCGGGTGCCCTTCATAATTAGAGTGAGGGTAGAGTTCTGCAGAATTCTCTTTTCGATGGTAGGGACCCTGGAAAACCTTTTTAGCCCAGACCTGCTAGAATTCTCCATCTCACTGTTCTGCTCACTTCCTGTGCCACACTCCAGTCCCCATACACCTAGAGCCAAAAGCTTAATTCTATTATGTTATATAAGAGTGCACAAACATCAATTTTTTTTTAACCAGAAACCAGTTTATCTTCAGTGAGCCCAACAGGTAATCTAATAAATGAAACAACCAGTTATCTGCCTAGAGCTCCTGATCCAAGGAGAGCCTGTTGTGTGGCCCAAGCCTAGTCCGTCACTTCGCACTTCCTCCCCCTCTGCTTCCAACAACATTGAGCCTAGTGAGGCTCTCTCTGGCTCGGGGAGGCTGGCCGTGCTGCTCTGCGGCCACCAAACCGTTGAGTGGTTGACTTAGAATGAAATCCCACATCAGAAGGAGGAGTCCTAGATTTCTGGACTCCAAGACTTAATGTCCTATTAGCATAACTCCTCTGCCAACCTACTTGGCACACACTGGATACCCAGTATATATTTTAGGATAAGAATGGTAGAGAGAGAAGCTCAACGGCCGTATCTGTCTTGATGTAGAGTTTGGGGGGGCGTGTAGCATATAAAATGTCTTTTAAATTTCTGAATGTAGAGCACAGTCCATTCTCATATTAACAAAACAGTTGAGGAAATAAAATGCTTATTAGCATAAAAATCAACCACTGCTCTTGACTGTCTTTGAAGCTCCAGTATTTTCTAACGCAAATACATATTCTCCTGTTGCCAGTTTTAAAGTTGATTGCTTGGTTGTTTTCAAGTGAGATGCTTTTTACTGTCCTTCTTCCCCTTTAATTATCGTTCCTTTTTTCCCCTAAACATTTAGTAACTGAAATCTGTTCAGTACTTTTGGGATATTCTTAAAGAAAATTATTTCTATTGATGTGTGTCATTAGAAGAGTCCCTTTAAATACAAAAGATAGCTTCAATGACACATCTGTGTCCTATGACAGAACTAATTTCTTTTCCATTGTGTGTTTTCTTTCCACTCTAGGCCTTTTCTCAAACAACAGAGAATGTATTTCGTATTTGCTCAAATGCTGTCTTCTGTATCTACATGGTTGGCCATAGTTCTTCTAATATTTATCAGCCTTTTCCCTGAGATTCTCCTGATAGTATTAAAGAATGTAAGAAGAAGAAGTGCCAGGGTAAGAACTAAGTTTATATTGTAAGTTGATGTTTGGAAGGGGCTTCAGTATCTGCCGTGGACGAAAAATTTTGTTTAGAGATTTGCGTTAGTTACAGCATGTTAAACCCCTCCTTACAGGTTCATCACTTAATTTCCTCTTCTGCATAAAAAGTATAGTAAAAACTTCGTTATCCAATGCAGGTGGTAAGTAGATTCCTTAATAGTGTTCTATGTGACCTGTAGCAATCCATATGGAGCATTTTATATGCTCCATATGGAGTTTTAAGTGGAAAAAAATGGGGTTTTTTTTTTTTTTTTTTTTTAGCCTAGAATTTTCACACCAGGAATTTCCACACCAACATTCCAGCTTTAACCTTAGAAATTTCCCTGTGGGTTGTTTGCAGATACTTTTTTTTCAGTTGATAATCCCAATTTGCTTCTTTCAAACCTTTCCCCTTCCTTTAATTATAGTGCTGCTTAATCTCTGTGTTGCTTCTAGCCCTGTCTGTCCAGCAGTATATTTGAACCAAAGAGAATTCCCCAGATGTGATTTCTGCATCCTTAAGCTTCCTGAACACACTTGTAAAAATTAAGATAGTTTTATGAGTGTGTTTTTCTTTTTGCTGCTTAAATTGTAGATTTCTTGTGGGAATGAGAAGTTATTACCCTCTGCCAGCCTAATTGTCTGATACCTTTTAAACATTCCTAAAAAGTCTTTTAAAGTGAAAGGGGTAGACTAGCTTGGAAGAGGGAACTTCTGGCAACTTTTAACCAACAGGTGAATTAAATATGCCCTGTCCCTGCCAACACTTAACTCATTTGCCAGACAGAACCCTTGTTTCCATCCTCTCGACACCAACAGATTGTGTAGCCTGTCCGATGCAATATTTTCAGGAAATAGTCTTGGGTTTATCTGCCTAATCTATTCGATCAAATTTGCCAGCCAGTGTAGCCACAAAGCTGGCTTGTCTGATTTTGGTTGTGGCCTATTGATTGGATAGAATCCCATGGTGGGCAGCATGTAGATGTAGGGCACTAAAACAGTTATAATGAGAACATCTTTAGGGACTAGCTGTGTGAAAGAGGACCTTCGCGATCAGTAAGGCAGTATGAGCCCCAGTCAAGAGCAGTAGATGACCAGTGGCATAAGCCACACTGAGTTGGGTGTACAGAGCCGATCCCTGTACAGTTAGGTGGTCAGAACGGCCTTCACTCACTGCTTCTGCATGTCTGGGGGGGTGGCACTGCACCCAGTAACATGAGCCTACTCTCTAATCCTTCCAGTAGACCCCTGACTAACTCCCTCCAGCCTGGCGTTTGGTCTTAGGATGGGCAAGTGGCATTTACTTGCCTGCGTAGACCTTAACATCAGTTGAACAGGGGTAGAACAGATACGATATAACGGGTTTTTCCCAGAACGGCTCAAGTAGCCATTTATATCAAGCCAAATAAAAAAAATGTCCCTGGAAGAAGTGGTTTGGTGCCTTGTAATAGACAAGTTTGTGGGAAGGATCTCTGGGGCGCTCTTCTGTTTCCCCTTGTTTGAGAGTATGCTCCGAAACGTTTTTCCTATTTGGGTTAATGGAGCTCATGCTAAGTAATGGCTCACACCCGGCTTCCTGCTCTAAAGATGATACCAAAATCTCCGACATCAAAACCTTCAAACAAACCATCTTAGCCTCTTCCTGAGGCCCTTTCTTTTAGAACCAAAATTAGACACTGGCTGGAGGTGACCTGTACAGAAACTAAATAGAGAGTTGCCGCAGAGCAGTCACGGACAAAGACATACAATATTTTCTTGCCATGCAGACAGGAGATTCTGAACTTGGGTCGAAAGCATGAGGTTCAGCATGAGATTTCTTTGCCATGGGTTGTTATGTCCATGATTGGAATTCTAGCGTCTGTGCTATAGCTTGGCATGCTGGTGTGCTACAACAAATCAGGGAGATTTCCATGATCACCGCCATTCATTCGATCATTCATTCATTTCTTCCTACCCTCATGGAACCAGAACATGTGTCGAACCGCCTACTGATGAACATCTCTCTTTACATCCAATGTCTGAAAGGCTGAATGGTTTTTCAGACTCTGTGGGATTTTTGAGAGTTGCAGATGAGACAAAAAGTTATGGGCACTCAGCAGCGCTGCCTCCCTCCCCCCCCCTTGTGAGAAAATGCAAGAGCAAACCAGTGCATATGAATGCATAAAGGCCAATGGAGACGTGCCATGTCACTTGTGTTTACATAAGGCCCTGCTGGGCCATATCAAAGAGGCAGAGGCCACTTTGAAGATGAAGAAGAAAGAGCATCTTCATCACCAGCAGTCTGATGTCCAGGGCGACTTCCTGCTTGGTTTAAATATCCCTTGCTAAGGCATTGGCCTCCCTTTGAAAGGGAGGCAAAAAATTCTTTTACAGTGGGTCAGCCTTAAACCTGACAGGCTCCCCAGCGGGGGAAAGTATGTGTCCCTACCTAGAGGCGGAAGAGTCTCCCCCTTGACTTCATCCAGCTAGCATCTTGGATCCTTCGTGCACAAAACCAGAAATACCTGTGGCAACTGGGCTGCCCGTGCTGTCCTCCTGTGGGTCTTGGCGGCTGCTTTCAAAAGGGAACTCAGCAGTGGGTAGTGAAAATGTCTCTGGCATTTGAAAACGAAGCTAAGCCATTTACATTCAACAATTTTAGAAGCAGCCTTCTGTTAGGTTCCATTCAATTCACACATTGCCTGAGGGTCCACTATAAGTTAGCTACTATACTAGGTCTTGGGAATTCAGGGATGAGTCAGATGTGGCTCCAGCTCACAGGGAGCTCTCTCTAGTTAAGTTATAAAGGGGATTTATACGGAGCTTTTCTGTAAGCAGGTATAAAGCAATACACTCAATGGTACGGCGTGTTGTGTTATAACACATCTGAGCCCTTTCAAGTCACGACCTCCTGAAGCTGCCAGTGAGAAGGCTGGTGTGGCAGCCTCCCCCCCGCCCCACCCCAGCTGAGCTCTGTCATGATGTCAGCATTTTTAAGAATTCTAGTTGCTTCGAAAATGGGCTCCCTCGATCATTTAATTCAAAGGTTACTTTAAGCTACCTGTTCCTCAGCTATCTTTTCAGCAGTGCGGTTAAGTTTTGAGCTAAAATCCCAGGATTAAGGGTCATAAGGCTTTTCTTTAGCTTCTAAATTGACAAACGTACGTCACCATGCTGCTGACAGGATATGGTGAAACCGCCATTGAGCACCAAACAGTGGAAGAGCAAGATAACACTTTAAAGGAAATACGAAGTTTAGGATTTCTGGTATTTCGAAAAGTTGTGTCGCCTCCTAGCCCAGTCGTGGGGCTCTCCATAATCAGTCAAGTAACACCTGAACTTTCTGGCCAACCAGTAAATACCACTTCCCGTTTCCAGTGGAGGACTTTTCCTCATAACTTCATGGAAGTTTAACCACATAAACTACCGCTGTCAGAAGGGAGGCTTGACTTTGCCTCCTAGACCCCAGGGATACCGTAAGCCAATGGGAACGGACCTAGCAGCGCGGCCATGCGTAGCATGGGATGTCTGCACAAACAAGAAGAAATAATTCCATTCTGGAGGAAGCTCTTTCAGAGTGGAAGACAGGCAAAGCGAGAGCGTCAGCTGTCTGAGCAAAATTCCCAGAGAAAGCCCGTTGACGATTTTGGAGAATGGAGCCTTCCACCTTTAATAACAGTGGTGCAAGGCTGACGACTGTCGCGAATCTGACAGTGTCCCGTACAACCGTGGGTTCTAAGGCTAAAAGCCCTGTTGACTGGATCAGACAAAAAGTTGAATCCTAACATCGTGGCTGTTGAGATGGACCTTTATGCATTGGCCTCTTTGACATACTGCTCATGGAGCCTGAGCTGGTGTCAAAAGCTCTCTAGATGACCGCAAAAGAATGTGGAAATTTCATCCTTTCTGTTCATTATCTCGCTTCCTTCTCTCCTCTCCCCCCTCCACCCCTGCCACCACCACTTGCTGGCTCTATCAGTTTTTGATTGCTTCTGATGCTCTTTCCATGCTCTCCACTGCCTTCTGTGCTTTCATATTCCCTCTCTTTTTCCTTTATGAAGTAACCTAGTCTATGAGCTCCTAAAATCTCTGCTTCCTAGAAGTACTTTTATCTCGGACGGTTGGATGGAAGGTTTTGGGTGCACCAGAATGTGCTTATAGCGGCAGTCTCAAATAATTAGGCTCGTATATCAAACGTGGGGGTGGGGGACTTGGTGCCACATTAATCTTGTTGCGAGACTTTTGCCCGCAAAATAGAAGGCAGAACAATTTAATTTTTTTTCTCAGAAACGATTTCGTTCTCTAGGCTTTATCAATTGGTCATTTGCATGTTGCCAACATGTCACCAACTTTATTTAAGGTAAAATATGAACAGGGAAAAAATATATAATTATGTTAAAACATATGTGAATAAGTGAAAAAGTATTTGCCTTTAAAAGTTTTATTGTTTATTAGATTCTGCTAGATGCATATGATACTTTAGCTGGTTTCTTTTTTTTCACACCTATTTTCATTAGTCACTAAGTAGATAATATGGGTAATCGTAATTAGCAGAATTGTTAAACTCATCGCTGTAGTTGACCACTCATTTTCTGTTTTGCTTGGGCAATGCCAAAACCAAGTCTGCGAATCAGCTTCAAACTTCAGGCATGGAGTAAGAAGGCAAAATGATAACCTGTTGGGTTTTCTGATTAAACTTTAAGTTACCAATTTTTACCTTCTCTAGGCATTTTGAAGGAGAAATTCATAGTTCTTTAGCCTACACTTTTAAAGAGGGATCCATAAGAAACGGGGGAAACCAACCAAATTATGTTAGAATAACGAAAGCCAAGCATGGGTCCAGCAGTAAATGGGACTAAAATGTGGTTTCACCAGAGGTCTTCCCATGGTGCTAGTTTTATTAGGCTTTTAACCTGTAAGACCCAAGAGCAGTCCCTCCGTATCGTATCTGTGCAGTTGGATAGGAGAGAGAGTGCTTCACGCTTAGATTAGCGATGGACCCTGGACACAGCTCTCTGACCAATGTCTTTTGGACAATGTAGGTTAGTGAGTTAATGACTGGAAATAAGCCTTATCTTAATGAGAAGCATATTTTAAAATTATTTTTATTTAAAATAGTCAATCTTCCCATTAACAAAATGATTTGAAACTGGTGAACAAAACTAGTAGCTTGCACATACAACAGAGACTGGTCCCAACTCTAAGTCGACTGTTACAGAGAGTAATGCCTTCAAAACTAACGTGCCATTTCGACTTCGAATTCTCAGGGTTTCTTTTTAAATGTCTTACATTTCAAAGAATATTTACTTTTTTTTTTTTTTTTGATTTCTGCATTTCTCTTTCTTCTACTGCAATTTTCCACCCTTTGTGCAATTGTGAACAAGGTAACGAAACGCCTCCCTTCCTCAGGAACATCTACTATCTTCATGCTTTCTCAAACTTCCAGCAATCACAGTTTCTCTTGGAGTGAATAAGGTGATTTCCTTTCTTAATGTACCAACTTGGCTTGCATTCTCATTTGCTTGGCACCATTTTCTGACTCTTTATGAAAATTGACTTCTCATTACTCATTTTTATATCCTCTATTGATGCTTAAGAGTATTTGGTCATTTTCCTTTAATCATTTGTTCACCTTCTCAAACCGTCACACTGGAGAGGAAGTGATTTCCAAACACTTGGACCGGACGCCTCTAGTCCCATTGATTCCTGGTGCGCAGGAGACGCCACGGCTTGTCAGAGCCAATCTGTTCACCAAGACAGGAGTAGTTTTGCACAAATTTCTCTCTATTCAGTACACTCACAGCACCAGCACAACTCTCAGAGGTGTTCACCAAAAGGATGGTAAGGTTTACTAATCAAACCATATTGACTCATCTACCACATAACCAACCGACCGGTGTCATTTCCAAAACCCCAGTTCGCCATATACTACTAATACCTGCATACTTCTGCCATGAAAAGAATTCAATTTGAGTTGGAGACTCGCTTAGGTCTTTCAGTGTGCTCATTTAAATGTTAGGCATTTGCTATAGTGTAATCATTTCTGCTTTAGGCCAAAAGAGTAGTCTATAGGAAATGATTTTTTTTTTCTTCTACGTTTTTATCACCAGGTAGGTTAACCAGTCTTCAATTGCTTTAAGTATCTTTACCTCACTATTACAGAGAAATCTGAGCTGTAAAAGGGCATCTGACTCATTATCCGCCAGACCTTCAGTCAGACCTCTTCTTTTACGAACATTCTCAGACGAATCTAATATATTGTAACAGGTACCTAGTGTTAAACAAGCGGGCTGGCTTTTAAAGAAACAGATTAACAGCATTATAAAGAAAAAAAATGAAAATACCACTCTCTAAATTTTCTCTGCTGTTGGTGTGGTGAACTTTCTACGATTCTTTACAAAAAATATAAAGATGCATTACTTGGAATATGGGAAAATCTATAGTTGAAATTTGTTAAGCCCCCAAATAAAATGCTAGGCATTTTGCAGCGCTTGAAGGACAATAAAATCCTTTGAATTTGCAAGGGGCAAGTTGTCGTGGTGGTGCCATCGTTAATACTGATCGGGAAATACCGTTTTGATTTTAAAAGAGCATTTAGAAAATTGAAAATAAATATTCCAAAATTGCATCTGTATAATAAGTCGATTTAGCATTGCATGTCCTTTTGGGAAGTATGTGGAAATAATCCAGTGTGTTTGTACCTCCGTGTGCCGTGTCTGTGTGTTTGCAGGTATATACCTAATGTACTCGTAAATGTCTGATCCCCAAAATTAATGAACCAATCTAATCACTTTTTTTAATGTCAAGTTTTATTCAAGCTCAATGTTTCTACTTTTCAGAGGTAAAGGTAAACTCTCTCCTAGCTATTCAGGGGGATGCTAGCATAACTGTAGAATGCTTCAGGACTGATTTTTCCAAAAATGAGTCAATTCATTTTATAACCTATTGGTTCATTACCACCCCCACCCCCCCGCAAAATAGTCGGGAGGAATGGATATGCCGTGGGAGGAGTCCTTGAACTCGGAACGACTCCTCCGAGTGTATTTTGTTTCTCACTACAGGGCCCTCTGTCATCCCAGACTTTGAGAGGCCCTTTACCCACCCATAGGAATTCAGAGTAATTCATTTGTCTACAAGCTTACCAGCTTGGAAGAAACTCCGTACAGCTTAGGGCGGGGCCCTCTTTCATGCACACATAAAAATTAGTGATCATCAGGAATGAAACTGCAGTTCGCTTCTCTTTGGAGCTAACAAGTGTGAGTCCTCCTCACAGGCCCATGTTTTCATCAGCTGTCAACTCCCCCGCCCCCAAGCAAAGAGTAAAAACTAAGCTGATGGCATTGGTTCTTCTATCTCCTATGCTTCATCCGTGGCATTCTTGCAGAAGCAGACTTATTTTGCCCCAGTCAGCATCCTTTCTCCCCATTTTGAGCGACTCATCCTGCTCGTATCTTCCCTCAGTAATGAGCCGCTTCCCGGTAGCTTTCAAAGTCTTTGACCCTTTTGTCCCAGATGGCCTTGTCCTAAGCTGTACGGTGTGTGTTAGCTATACTGTTTCCAGCTAATTATGTATCCCCCTGGATTGCTTTCTTTAGCTTGGCCTGTGGTCTGGGAGACCAGGCTGGGTAGCAGACACTCCTGCTTTTGGCCTCTCCAGGGCCTGAAATCCGACAATGACAAAGGATGAGGAACATGGAATTGAGGAAGTTTATTATTGACACAGTTGTCGTATTTTTAACGTAGTTATTTATTCCACAAATAACTTTTCATGTAGCATTATTCTTCCTCTGAGGAAAATATTTGGCAAGTAGTTCAGCCACCAAGTTAGTCCCTTGTTGAGAGAACTGTGTGACTCCTTTTATAAGTTAGTTCTCAGTGTGAACAGCAACCTGCTTTTGGTTAGGCTTGGTCACCATAACCCTGCTACTTGAAGAACTCTTGGGGAAAACAGGGAACATGAAGGAAATGGAATGTGTTCTAGAGGACTTCTAGTCCAATCATGGCAAGGAAGGTACACCAAAATGGGAGGAAAACCGCATACCCCTTAAGGCCCTCCCCAACTCCTGTCTCGCAAGGTTGGATTTGAGAGTGGAGAATGAAAGTTAGGCTCCCTCCCAAGACCAGAGACTTCCACTTCTCAACATACCTGATTTATACTCTGTGATCATTTGGCCTACCACGTCCTGGCCCTGTAATAGCATTTGATAATGTTCAGAGGACAGAGAAGAGTCTACAGATTTCGGGATGTTTCTGTGGTTGCTTTTCTAAAAAGATGATGAATGAGAAAAACAGAAGCGTCCACTGAGCCATAGATAACCTGATCTACCAAAAAGAAAATGAACTTCAGCATTATATGGGGAAGAAACATGTTTCTTTCAGTAAAGGAAAAATACTTCTACAACAGCCTTTCAAAACTGAGTGTGTCTTTAGACTTCCTCTGTCAAAAGTTACAGATCCTCAAAACACCGTAATCCATCCATTCATTCAACAGGCCCGAGTCCCTGCTGTGTTCCAGACACTAGTCTAGGAGCTGGAGATAGGAAAGTAGAATGACCCTGTTTTCAGGGAGCTCACAGACTAGAGCGTCCTTGTGGGAACAGTGACAAGAGAGCCCTGGAGCATGCCAAAAGCAAAAAGCAAGTCTGAATCTCTTCAGCTAACAAATGAAGAAAGCATTAAAAACTGGTCATTGTGTCACTTTTTTTTTCCCCTGCATGTGAATAAAACTTGGCACTTTAAGATCATTCTTTTACTTTCATAACAAAATTTACTACTTGATTTATTTTTGAAAATGCTAAACAGATGGTTTCACGTTATCGTTAAAATAACCCTTTTAACTCTGTATATTTTAAATTTTTCAGAATCCGAATCTTGAGCTGCCTATGTTATTGTCCTACAAGCATATTGACAATGGTTACAGCTAAAAAAGAAAGCAGGAAGAAACAACTACAAAAAGTTATCATCTCAGGATACTCAATATGCAACAAATTAAACCACTCTCTTATGTCTAGGGTTCAGAATCAATGTCCATTAAAATACCAAATGACTCTCTTAAGCATTTACAGTTATTGTTAAGTAGCCGTTATGGCCAAAGCTCTAAGTTAAGAATCATGTGAAAGTTGAAAGCACGAATAATTAGAATTTCTGGCTTTAGATAGAGTAACATAACTACCAAATGTGGGTGCTTCTTTAACCCATGAACTCTGTGAATGGATCTGAACATAATAGTATAAAGTAGAAGTCATACAACGGGAATGAATAGATTTTGCTAATCTTAATTTTTTTGCCTGGCAGAAGAAATAGGCTGTTTGGATCACATTTCTTGTTCCTGCTGAATGATGGTCTTAAATTATTTTTTCAAACACATGAAAGGAATACTTGAACATACAAGAAGACTAAATGGTATCAGTGCATCAGAATAGTCAACCTTTGTGTTCACCCACGTGCTCATTTTGTCTCCATAGAATATCCTTTGTCCCCCCCCGCCCAAGAAAAAACCTTGAATCCTTACGGGGAAAGAATGTTCACCCTGGATATTTTTGTGAGAATCCAAAAAATTGCTTATTTTATTTTTGTTCTTCTGAATTAAATCCTATTTAATGGGTGTGTGGCTACTAGATTTGAAAATAAGACCTTTCCAGTCGCTTAGTAAGTAGCCCGTCCAGGCAGTTAAGAGGTAACAGATTTTTCCAGTATCAGTTTTACTGGGATCTGAGGCAAGATAGGCAAAACCATAATTACATTTTAAAAAGCCATCTGAACATCAGTCTTTTATAATTTTTTGTGGAGGGGTGGAAAACAGCTTATTTCAAACTGTTAATGGTTATTTTTTAAAAGAGGCCGCCTTTGTGCATATATGCAGCACTTTTTTTTCTGTAACTTGCCAGTTTGGGAAAGAGGGATCCATCCCAGGATGGTGGTGATTCAGCCTACAGAGCCGTGACCCTGAACATGAATGTTTTCTCTCTCAGCGAACATGCTTCGGTGATGGTCTAACTTTAAACCGTGAGAGTCACCTTGGTAAAGTCCTCAACTTCTGGAATAGAGCAAGGCTTTAGCCTCCTAATGAGTTCACTTAAAACGTAAAAATAAATGTGAAACGTCTTTATTAAATGTTAAAATTAAACATACTTTTTTTGGATATAAATGGCTACATTTGACTACTAGATTGAAATGGGCACTGAAAACGTGTTTTCAGGGGCGCATGGCTGGCTCAGTCAGTGAAGCATGCATCCCTTGGACCTTGGGGTTGTGAATTCGAGCCCCACACTGGGCATAGAGATTACATTTAAAAAGAAAAAGTGTTTTCAAACTGGTTTCCATTTTTGGTTGTCTTTCTGGCATGCCTGTACTATTATTAGTGTTTATATCGTACCTTGATTTAGAGAAGTATTGAATTCAATCTATATCTGTATTTATATGGCCCACGTGGCACATTCGATTCTTCCGTATATATTTTGTGTTAATGTTTAGGTGTAATTTTTCTTAAATTCGAGGAAGGACATGATTTCAGTTATCAAAAACCAATCCATCCTTATGCCCTTTTTTCATCATTTCATTTGTTCTCACCTATCAGTATTATTTTTGAGTATTTTGTTAGATGTCATTCGCAGCTTACCCAAATGTGCTGTGTTCCGGTCTCCTGTATTTGAGGCAGCCTACTGAACAAAGTCTGTGTATTCTTTGCCTATTCCAAAGAGCTAAAAAAAAAAAAAAAAAAATCAGACCCAGGAAAGCTTTTGATGTTTTCTGTTGTTCTTGTTCGTGTTACAGTCACTGCTGTGTCGTTACTGTTGTTTCACAGAAGTACTGTAGGGACTGTGAATGCAAAGGAGAGAGCCACGATAGAGAGCGAGGCTCGTGTGCACGCCGGTGGAGATTGCCATAATCAGAACATCCGGGCTGTGGAAATCTAACTGGTAGCGTGTAAAATTGCTCGCAGCCAGGAAGAAAGGTGACTAAGGGGGCTTTAAAGTCGTGTCTGCAGCTCAAATTCACGATGGTGATAATCATGGCCTAGATCCTTGAGAGGGACCTGGCTTTCCTTTTTGAAAGCTATCTTATTAGTGAGCTGCAAAATGGCTAGCATGGGTTAGCAGATGTAATCGCTCAAAGTAAGCCGTCCTACGGTATTCCTAGCACTGCAGTCTAACCGCCTTATTTTGTGACCGAGAAAGGGGGGAAACAGTATAATAGGATGGCATACCCATCGTTTGAACAGCTTCAGGCTATCGAGATGTCCTTGTAATTTTCACAACCGTTGTCCATTGTTTGAAGGTATAACCTACTAAGCGTAAAACATAGATTCCATATCTACAACATTACACCAGCAACAGTATAAACGTAGGCCTAAATTTGCAAAATTCATAATAATTTAGTGATGGAATTTTTTAATAACATGCAGTATATAAATGTGCAGATTTTATGCAAGTGTTAACAAAATCATTTTTCAGCTTGCAAAATGGAACTGCAATACTACATTTTTCACTTAAGCAATTTTTTACATCTACGTCGTTGCTTTCTATAATGACTGTGAATGCCATCTTTTATGAATGCAACTTGCCTTTTTCATTACAGAAATTTTTGTTTGATGTATCAATAAACTTTGGTATGATATGATTGATATTTTAGCCTCTTTTTTGGGGGGGGAAGATCTCAGTTGGACATAAAAACACGGAAGCAGTGTGGGGACAGGAAATAGTTTTTATCATTTGCTCTTCGCCTGTGTCTTATATGTGTTCAGCTGGCATTTTAGGGCCGTGGCTGATTTGGGGATATTACCCGTTTTGTGGGAGTTTTGAATGAGACTGCACGGATAAAAGTGCAGCCAAATCAGTATCTACATATTGAAAATCTACTAGTGTCTGCTTGGCAGTGTGCTTTCTGCTGCCCACACATTGGAGGGAGTGTGATATATGGTGTCTCCGTCTCATTGAAATCATTTTCTTAAGTATCCAAACATGCAGCAGTTCTACAGTCGCTTGAAATTTGGTCCAAAGGCGTGTGCACGTGTGTGTGTGTGTGCGTGTGTGTGTGTGTGCACCTCCCTCTCCCTGCCCATCCTCCTCCCCTCCCCCGCCACATCTGCATCCCCTCCCCCTGGCCCTGCCTGCATCTGAGACCTTGTGAGAGCCCTGCTGTCCTGGACTGCTAAGAAACTAAGATTTTCCCACCGTAGCTGGTTGCGTGACATTTTTACACTTAAATCTCTCTGGTTTTGTAGCCTTCTGACCATGTTGAGTCTTCGACCTACGTTTAGTGAATTTCCTTTTTATTTTTATTTTTTTAATGTTTTTCATTGTAATTCCAGCATAGTTAACATACAGTGTTACATTAGTTTCAGGTGTCTCCTTTTTATTCTTCGGTAAGTGGGACATGTGCTGTATTTGGAGGTGAGACCTGAGTTACCGTTTCCAGTGTTATCACTTTGAGCCATTTTCCTCTCTGCCCTCCTCTCGCCTGTAAAATGGTGTCTTGAGGGTGAGGGGTGGTCCAATGAGGGAAAGGGATGAAAAACTGCTTTGTAAAATATCATTTGTTATTCAGATGAAATCATTGCTTTTTTTTTATATTAAGGGGTATTTTATTGCTTTGATCTTTTTGATGAATAGTTGTCATTTACCAAATTTTATAGACGTAACTATGGCAGATTCTTTCTACCTTCTTGGAATGAATTAGTCTGCACAAGCTTCCTTCCCTTCCCCCATCCAGCTTTGTGGGGAGCTGCCTCAATGCCGAGTCTACCCAGGACTGGCCAATAAAGTAAGTATTGTGAGGGTCTGAGTGGCTTGGCCCCTTCAACAAGAAGCACATACAAAGGTTAGGGGCTGAGGTTATCACTATGGTTATTCCGGGGATGTGTCCAAGGCTGACGTGCTGGGTGCATACTAATGAAGCTTGAGGGCCCGAGTTCTGGGAATGGTCAGAAAAACAGGGGATAATGATTTCACAATTTTGTAAAATTAATCTGACACATTTTCCCAGCAACTTATGGGCGAGGAAACATGGGCTCAGTTCCTAGTGTGTGGACCTAGTAGACTAAAGAAATGTTGCTGGGGATCAAGTAAGTCCCCATCTCCTGGGCCGTAGGAGCAGGTGCTAGGAGCAGGCCTCCGGCTGAAAGGACAGCACACCTCTTGGTGGACAGGAGGGTCTCTGGCCCTGGCTCTCCGTGTGGAGAGGGGCAGAGAATGTTCATGGTTAAAATCCCTGCTGCTGCTTTGGTCTCTTCGTCAATTTGCCAGGACACATTTCCTGCCGGTAAAGCCACTAGAATCAACTACTCCAGTTTACAGTTAAACCGCACGTACTGGGCGCCAGGCGCCGTTCCAGTGACCTCCGGCGTATAGTCCTGCCTCTTTCATAATTCAGTCTTATGAAGCATGTATTTGTGCTCCTCCGCTCGACAGATAAAGAAACTGAGTCACAAATAAAGGTCACGCTGTCTGGTAGAGCCAGATTTTTTTTTTTCTTTTTGCAACACAAATACTGTTTTGTAATTCCGGAAGCCGTAAAATCAAGTGTGTTTTTCCTGGAAGCTCTCGGGGCGATCTGCTCCCTTGCCTTTTCCAGCTTTCAGAAGGTTTTGTGATGGGGCGCCTGGGTGGCTCGGTTGAGCATCTGCCTTCGGCTCGGGTCATGATCTCGGGATCATGATCTGGGGTCAGGCCCCACATCGGGCTCCCTGCTCTCTCCCCCTCTCTCTGCCCCTCCTACCCACCCACCCCCAGCTTATGTTTTCTCTCTCAAATAAAATCTTTTTTTTTTTTTAAATAATGTGATTCCTTGTCTCAAGATCCCTTCCTGGTCCATCTTCAAATGTCTCTGCTCCCATTGTCACATCTCTGAGTCTGACCCTCCTGACTTCCCTCTGTGATTACATCAGCTCCATGTGGATAATCCAGGATAATCTTTCCATCTCGAGTTCTTTAAGTCACATCTGCACTGACCCTTTTTCCATGGTATGGTGACACAGTGACAAGTTCCAGGAATTAGGAAGGACATGGACATCTTTGGAGGGCTGTTACTCAGCATACCACACCATCTCAGCTGAGGACTGAAAGGTCTTCCGGGTCATGGAACTTTCAAGTGTTGACATTAGGAAAGTTCCAGGCAAGCCTGGACGGTTGGTTGCCCTTAGCAAGGGGCTCTTGTTCCAGGAAGATCTTTCTACAGACTCTTGTGGAAGCGGAGAGAAAAGATGGATACAAAGAGAGCTGTAAAGAAAATGTTTTTCCAATAACAGTACTTAGGAGCAAAGCAACCTTTAACCTTTAAGAAGTCCCACCCTTCTCTACCTGGTAGAGCCTGATTTTTTTTAATTTATTTATTTTAGCGTGCGCACAAATGCACACACGAGTGGCAGGAGGGTAGGAGGGAAAGAATCGCAACCAGACTCTGTGCTGAAAGCAGAGCCCAACCTGCGGCTCGATCTCCGAACCCTGAGAGCATGACCTGAGCGGAAATCAAGAGTTGGATGCTTATCTGGCCCAGCCACCCAGCCGCCCCAGATTTTTTTCTTAAGTGATCTACACCCAACATGGGGCTCGAACTCTCTACATGTTCCACCAGCTGAGCCAACCAGGCATCCCTCATAGAGCCGGATTTTGAAAGTAGGTATTCTGACTAGAGTTCATACACATAACCAGAACGCTGTATTTCCATCATTACAGCGCCCCAATGGCATGAATAAACAAGCCATCACAAGATGAATGCTAATTATTCATATTAACCAGAAAAATGCATGACAGACCAAAAGTGAGGGATTCCACAAAGTAACTGACCAGTAATCTTCAAAATTATAGAGATCATGGGGGCTCGTGGCTGGTTCAGTTGGTAGGACATGCAACTTGATCTTGCTCTCGTGAGTTCAAGCCCCCCCATTAGGCATAGAGTTTACTTTAAAAAATAAATGAGCAGATTTTAAAAACAAAATTTAATGGGGCACCTGGATGGCTCAGTTAAGTGTCTGACTTTGGCTCAGGTCATGATCTTGGGGTCCTGGGATCAAGCCCTCCACAGGTCTCTGTGCTCAGTGAGGGGGGGGTTGCTTAGGATTCTCCCCCTCTCTCAAATAAAATCTTTAGAGAAAAAGAAAAACATGTACAAAGATAGGGGTACCTAGCTGGCTCACTTGGTAGAGAGTGCGACTCTCGATTTCAGGGTCATGAGTTCAAGCCCCATGTTGGTCATGGAGCCTACTTTTTAAAAAAAATGTATTTAAAGATGATGAAAGACCAAGACTAAGGAACAC